GAATTAGGAATGAGATGATAAGATGTCGCGTGGCCGCGAATGCGGCCGCGCGCTTCCGGGAGCTGAGTGTGATAATCTCTGGATCCTGGCCGTTGTTGGAGTTACACGGCAGTTGGTGGGTGTAACTGTCTAGTTACTGGCAGGTCCAGTCCCAAACTGTGCAGGCTTGGAGATCTCAGCCCCGGGTCCCACATGCCTGACTGTCTCCACCAGGGCCCAACAGCTGAAGACCACCGAGGCCCAGCCAAGGCCTTGCTGGGAGCACTCTCCACACACTTGGATAAGAAATGATACTGTTGGAAAATACAATTTCTCCAAACAACCCCTAACTCTGTTTTTGCCAGATAGGAGAAATGTTTTAGATTTTCCTCACTTTCCACATACACCCCTCCTTTATTCTACTTGTACCGAAGATTATGAACTAGATTACCCAGATACTTTAGGGTTAGAATTTACTTACTTGGTATCCATAGTTAAGCTTGGATGAACTTCGGATTTATTTTCTTCCCCATTAAAGTAACCTTTTCCCACCAACCACAATTTTAAAAGAAAAGTGATTTTATCAAATAAACACTTATAAAGTACTTCAGTTTTTAAAAGTGTAATATCTCCAGTTCCATTTTTCTTCAAGTTTTATTTTGAGCCAGTTATAGTCTAACAAGTTTCAAAATCAAGAATTCCTATGTAATCCTCACTCGGATTTTCCCACTAACAGTGTTTTATAACTGTAATAAATTATCCACATGACCACCATATAGGAAATACATAATCGTAGCATTCTTGGGCTAGAGTGATAGTGCAGTGGATATGGCGCTTGCCTTGCATGTGGTTGACCTGGGTTTAATTCCTGGCATCCCATATTGTCCCCTGAACAAAGCAGGAGTCATTTTTGAGTGTAGAGCCAGAAGTAACTTCTGAATATTGCCAGGTGTGCCCCCCCCACCCCTGCCATACCCCCATCCCTGACAGGACAGTGCTATATTTGCTAAGCCATATATAAATGAACCTTTTTTGGTGTTTGTTTTTGCCTATTTCCAATTGGATTGATTCTTAACTGTTGAGTTTAGAACTATTTATATATTCTAGAAAGATAATAAGATGTTGCGAGGCTGCAAATGCGGCCATGCACTTCCGGGAGCTGGGTTTTATAGTCTCTGCGTCTTGGCCGTTGATGGGACCAACCTGGCGCTGGCGACAGCTGGTGGGTGTGACGCCTACCTACTGGAAGATTGGGGGTCTGGGTGGAGAAGGCCCAGTCCCAATCTGAGTAGGCTTGGAGACCTCAGCCCCAGGACCTGCATGCCTGGGTTCCTCTGCCAGTTCTTTCATGCAGGAGGCCCATCTGGGCGTGTGGAGAGTGGTCCCAGCATGGCCATGGCTAGCTACGGAGGTCCTCAGCTGCTGGAGCTCTGCTCAGGGCGGGTGGGCGTGGAGAGAAGATCAACCCTCCCCCCTCCAGTGAGGACAGTCAGGCGCGGGGGCAGGAGACTCTGCGCTGTTCTCTGGATACAATATTTTATTATTAAATTTGACATTAGGCGCTGAAGCTTACATTATCTAATGGTAGGGTTTCATTCCAGTGCCACATCCTCCATAGTATCCATTTCGCTCCACTGTTGTCCCGGAATCCACCCAACCAGGTCCTCATCCTTGACTCCACACCATATCTCCCCCGTGGTAAACTTGTTACTGGATACTATTTTTTCTGTTTCTAGACACTATTTTTTCATTTATGCTTGGTTCATATCCAGTGGTGCTGAGGGCTTACTTCTGGCTCTGCACTCAGGAGTCACTCCTGGCAGGATCGAGGAACCATATGGGATGCTGGGGCTCGAACCTGGGTCAGCCACATACAAGGCAAATACCCCACCCACTGTACAGCTCTCTGTACCCATGAAACCCACTCTCCAGCTGGGTATTTTAAACAATATGTAAAATAAATTTCTTCTTAAATATCTGAATGCTTGTGGCATGGCACACTTTTTTAGAGACTCTTCTCGTTTTTTTAACATAGAAACTTTGTTCCTAAAAGCAAATCATTTCTGGAGGATCATTTTAAGGGTTGTTCTAAGCCTGCTTACCTATGGCCCCTTTTGGCCTTTTTTCCCAGAAATACCTCATGCTCAGAAGCATCTGACTGACAGCGTTTGCGAGTTATGAGTAGAAGGCTTTCTTTTCGGAATAATACAGAAATAGTGCTGCCCCTCCACACTTCCTCCCATCCTCCCAGCTTAGATGGAACCACACATTTTTGCTGTTTTGAAGTCTCACAGCCTGCCCAACAGGCTCCTTCCAGGAAAAATGCTCTTCTCATTGTCTTTTGAAATACATTTCAAGCAGCTACTTTTAGCCAAGAAAAAGAATCTAGTTCTTCTGTTTAAGGTAACGTTAGTGTTCCTATGAAGTTCATATTGGATAAAGCGTTTTGAACATAAACAAGTTCTTTTCTTAAGACCCCTCATGCTTTTAACAAAGGATCTTAGATTTTTCCAGAAAGAATCTGTTTGTGACTAATTCTACTTTGGTTGCTGCTGCTATAATACTTTGGGATCAAGTTCCCAGTGCCAGTCCTGTAGGGAAATCTGACTTTTTAAAGATGACTGACGTCGCTCCTGGTGCCATTGGACTTACTGGTTTCTGGCACTTTATGACTCTGACTGTTATTCAAACTCTTAAACCCTCTGAGTCTCACTAAGTTATTTTTCCAAATACTCTTTAGAAATCCTTTGGCAGAAGATTATGAAATGTTACACGCAGAATTATACAGTACAATAAACATCCAATGCATGCTAAAATTGTTTTTGCTTTGATTCTCCTGGAAACCCTAGACCTCTTCTGACAACTAGAGACCTATTTCTTTCACACAGGGTCATTAGAAGGGAGAGTTTGGTGGGGTTTTTTGTCTGTATTCACATCATACCCAGTTACACTTACGGCTTACTCTTGGCTCTGCACTCAGGAATTACTCCTGGTGGTGCTCGGGAGACCATCTGGGATATGAGGGATCAGACCCAGGTTGGCCGTGTGCAAGGCAAATGCCCTACCCACTGTGTTATTGCTCCAGCCAAGGAAGGAAGATTGATTCTGAATTCAGAAAATGTTAAGGGCAATTTCCAACATGCATGTCAAAAATGAATTCGTGAAAGAATGAGAGCTGTAAACTTCCACTTGATAAAAGTTAAAAAATGAAAAAGGGAATCATGCTTATACCCATCCCCCTAACCCTGACACAAAAGCTTTCATCCTTTCTTTTTCTCCCTTTTCCCTTTTAAGTAAAACCTGAATTTGGTAAGTAAGTAAATAAATAAATAAATAAATCAGCTCATCTGTGTGAGTTTGTACAAGTTTCTACACCATTTCCCGTAGGAATGATGTAGGAGAAAGGGGCAGCTTCCCAGGTTAGCATTAGGAGCTTATTAAATCATTGAACAATATCATTTTTACAGGAAAGGTGTTCAGTAGCCCTTGCCGTTTCTGGGCACCTGATACCACCCCCTCGCCCAAACTGATGACATTTTCCAGTCAGACTTGGGATGGGTCTTCTCACAGCAGAGGTCGCAAATTCATTCACAGAGATTTATTCCTAGCCCCAGGAGAGAGGGGGAGGGGAGAGATACACATATGGCAGGAATGGGGCAACGTGTTTGGAAGCTGAGGGGTCAGCTACCTGCATAAAGCATTACCTGAAAGCAGGTACCCCCGAAATGAGCAGGTTAGTGGAGGGACTGCTGGAGTGTGGTGGGTGAGTATGTGTTGAGGTTACATACTCAGCAAAGCAAGAGAATTGCATCTTCTATTTTACTTGCATTAAGAGGATTTCACTTACACAGGTAGAGGTATCATGAGGAAAGTAACTTCTTATACTCAACAACCAAGCTATACTTCCACGTACTCACACACACTCTCCAATCCTCAGATGGGACATACCTGCCTTCACACAGAGCAGATGATGAGCACACCAGTCCTACGGCGCAGCCTCCCATCCTGGGAAGATCCAGCTCACTCAGGGCTTGCCAGACACTCTACCCCAGGACCTTCACTCCCCTGATCCGTTTCAGATTCTAATTCTTATATGGTCCCCCTCAGCTTATCACGCCTACTTAGTCTCCAGGAAAATGACTTCCTGAACATAGTGCTGGCCTGTGGGTGAAAGCACAGGCCAATGTATATGGTGCCCAGTCTAGGAAAGTCTTTTCCAGACAAAACGGGGAAAGATAAACTTTTTTCTAAGAATGGTAATAGTTGCACTGCAAAAAAAATAAATGTTGGAGCTGAAGCGATTGCACAGTGGGCAGTGCATTTGCCTTGCACACAGCCAACCTGGGTTCGATTGCCAGCATCCCAAATGGTCCCCTGAGCACTGCCAGGAGTAATTCTTGAATGCAGAGCCAGGAGTAACCCCTGAGCATTGCCAGGTGTGATCCAAAACACACACACACACACACAAAAAATTATGGTTGAAGAGTTACTACAAGTAAGCATGGCACTTGTCTTGCATGTGGCCAATCCAGGCTCAAATCCCGGGTTCCTGTATAGTCCCTGGAGCCCTGCCAGGAGTGGTCTCTGAACACAGAGCAAAGAGCTGGCCTAAGCATTACCAGGTAGAGTTCTGGAAATTTACCCAAAATATAAACAAACATAGCTGAGAAATGATACCTAGTAATATTTTAAAATGTAAATTTTCTGGTCCTGCCCCAGACCTATTGATTGAGTGTCTCAGTCCAGATTTCAACAAGCTCTCGCAGTAATCTTCAAACACCAAAGCTTGAACATTTCTGTGTCTGGAAACATCTAGGTGCCCAGGGTCCATCACAAAGCCTTCTAAGTGTAAAACATGCAATCTGCAGGGGGCAGGGATGGAGTTTGGTGACAGAATACTTGTCTTGCCTGTGTGAAGGACTAGGTTCAACAGGCATGCACTTTCCCACTGAACTACTCACACTTAGCTAGTCCAAGTCCCTTTGCATGGGAGTAAAACTGAAAATTGATGCACAAAGGAATTCTTCCAAGTGAAGTTCTTTATTAGAGCACTAATAATTGCAGATAAAAAACAGCAGAACACTCCAAAATGTTGTAACAGATTAGGCAAATTAGTCAGAAGAAAAAAATTTCTTCAATGTATACAAAATGTAAACATTTGCCCTGGGATTTCCCACAGATGGCACAGTCCACAAGGACTTATTTGGAACAAAATATGTCTATGGAGTCTCCAGTCTGCAAACATGCTAAGTGAAAGCTCACCCAATTTTAGCACACCCAGAATTGTCAATGCAAAATGCTAAATGGCTCCAATCAAGGCAACTTGTACATCAACGGCTACAAGTGGAACAAGTGGAAACAGAGACACCGGCAAATCAATCTTCCAACTTCTAACTTCCACTCTCTATCCTAATTGTATTTACATTTACCTTGACAGACTATAAAAATATACACGGTATATAAAACCCCTACTTGAGTCTGGATGAAAGATGAAATATTACTCGCATCAGTCACTGGTACTGAGGGAGAGAAGATTAAGAAGAGGCCCGCTTCTGTTCAGAAAACGGGGATTCATAAACTTCCATGGGCGGACAGGTACAGACCAGGTGCTGGTCGCCGTAGATGTCATCGATACGGGCAATGGTTGGCCAGAATTTGTTCTCTGGTTTCACAAAGGGCTGCAATGCACAAAAGAGGGAGATGTGTTATAATCGAAGAGACTTCTCTGAGGATAAGGTGACGGCCATTCCTCTATCCTATAGTCCAAGATACCATTAGCCCAAGTCAGACTCAAAAATTACAAGGAACCCAAACCCACCCTTTCCTTATTATTCACAGATAACAAGTTGTCCCTGTCCTCACTCTGCAAGTAGACTGAAGAGTGTCTTGTTTCATATGAGAACAAGAAATGGAACCAACGAGATAGTACAGGAGTTAAGGTGTACGGCTTGCATGCAGCTGACCCAGTTTTGCAGCCAGCATCACACATGTAACGCTGAGCACAGAGCCAGGAGTATGCCAGTTGACCTAGTTGAGTGGAAATTCTATTTGGAACCCCAGGCCTGTAGCTGACACTCGGAGCTTTGAGAGCCAAACCCTATGCACTGTGTCCCTGGGCATGACTCAGGTTTCCCAAGATGTCCCATATATGGCTTTGTAACAAGACACAGCGGTGACAATGCCACTCTGTACACATGTAACCTCACAGGGGACTTGGCCCTTCCAGGGAAAACTTACGAGTGGGAATGCTGCCACCTCTCTGGAATATGGCCGATCCCAGTGGGAGGATGTGACACAGGTCAGGGAGTGCGGAGACATCTGAAACAGAGACATGAACAGAAGAGGGATCAGGGCAGAAAAAGGCTATCTCCACCACGTCCCCTCAACCAACAAGCTGGCCTGTTTGTATCCCCCAAATTCCCAGGGTCTTCTGCGCTCTTCTTCCATGAGAACCTCTATCTTTTTTTTTTTTTTTTTTGCTTTTTGGGTCACACCCGGCAATGCACAGGGGTTACTCCTGGCTCTGCACTCAGGAATTACTCCTGGCAGTGCTCAGGGGACCATACAGGATGCTGGGAATCAAACCAGCCCCCGAGAACCTCTATCTTTTTTAAAAAATTTTAAATTTTTGTTTATTTTTTCTAGGGGCTGGAGCAATCACACAGTGGGTAGGGCATTTGCTTTGCACGCAGCTGACCCAGGTTTGATTCCTCCATCCCTCTTGGAGAACCCGGCAAGCTACCGAGGGTATCCCGCCCCATGGCAGAGCCTGGCAAGCTCCCCGTGGCGTATTCCACATGCCAAAAACAGTAACAAGTCTCACAGTGGAGAGGTTACTGGTGCCCACTGAGCAAATTGAACAACGGGAGGACAGTGCTACAGTGCTAATTTTTTTAGAGCCTTAAAAGACTTTTATGATTGGATTTCAGTCATACAGTATTCCAACACCCATCCCAGCACCACTGTCCCCAGGTTCCCCTCTCATCACCCCCACCCCCTTCTCCTTTCTCCTGCCTGCCTCTATTATAGGAGCTTTTCTTCTCTCTCTCTCTCTCCTCTCTTCTCTCTCTCTCTCTCTCTCTCTCTCTCTCTCTCTCTCTCTCTCTCTCTCTCTCTCTCCTGACAACCTCGATCTTGAATTTGATTTTAACCATTCTCATTTTATTTTTTTTTTTATTAGTGAAACACCATGAGGTACAGTTGTAGACTTACAAATTTTCGTGCTTGGGTTTCTGTTGTACAATGTACAATGTGCCCATCCCTCTACCAGTGCCCATTCTCCACTTCCACTAATCCCAGTATCCCTCCCACCCCCCTCACCCCCCACATCCCACCCTGCCTCTGTGGGAGGGCATTCCCTTTTGTTCTCTCTCTCCTTTTGGGTGCTGTGGCCTGCAAAAGAGGCATCGAGTGGCAATTATGTTCGGTCTAGAGTCTACTTTCAGCATGCTTCTCCCATCCTGGGGGGATCTGGGGGGATCCTCCCAATACCTCCCAATACTCCCCACTTGGTGCTCCCTTCTACATCTGGGCTGCCTTTACCCCTAGAGTGTGAAGCTGGCCTCCAAGCCATGGAGTAAATCTCCTGGTATTTATCTCGGCTATTCTTGGGTGTTGGTCTCCTATTTTGTTACTTTATATTCCCCAGATGAATGCAATCTTTCTATGTCTGTCCCTCTCTTTCTGCTCATTTCACTTAGCATGATATTTTCCATGTAGTACCACTTGTATGTGAATTTCATGACTTCATCTTTTCTGACAGCTACATAGTATTCCATTGTGCAGATGTGCCAAAGTTTCTTTAACCAGTCATCTGTTCCCGGGCACTCGGGTTTTTTCCAGATTCTGGCTATTGTAAACAGTGCTGCAATGAACAAACAACTGCAGATGTCGCTTTGACTATACTTTTTTGCCTCTTCGGGGTATATTCCCAGGAGTGTTAACCATTCTCATTTTAACAAACAGCACAGTATTTGGTTTGACACATTTGTAAACTATAACATTCTACCAATATTATTTTCCATTTTGTAACTGCTTTAGGTTCTTTAAATATCTATTGCCATCTTAACAATAGCGTTCAATCACGGCTGGAGTGGTAGTATAGCAGGTAGAGCATCTGTCTTGCACATGCCCAAGTTCATTTTCTGGCATCCCCTATGGTTCCCTGAGCATCGCCAGGATTAAGTCCTGAGCATCACCAGGTGTTGCCCCCCATCCCCATCCAAATCCCCCAAAAAGAATAGCCTAAATTTGGAGGAAATCAGCATATCCAGAGAAAAGAGAATGATATTAGTAATCAACAATTGAGTTCTCTTTCTCCATTGCCCTGCCAGACTCAGCAGCCCGTTTAAGCAAGGCATCTCTCTTCTCTGCCTGCCATTGACCCTGCCATTCTGCCTTCAGCTAGTTTTATTACTAGCCTGAGCTTCCCCAGACATCTCAGACTTGTTTTCTGCCCTGTAACCATGACAACACAATCAAAGTCTTCATGATATTCTTGGTCCTGGCATCATTACGTCTGGATCTAATGAGAAAACTTAACCCTCTAACCAGATATTACAACATTCAGGCCAAGTACCAATTCAGTTCTTTCAAGAAATAATTGCTCTGATTCAGTGATTCACAATTTCTACAGTAAATACACAGACTTTCCCAACTCGACCATCTTTTAGCTTCCGTTCTTTTGGCAATCAGTTCAATGTAGTATATGGGGTGGACATCTCTCTATAGCTAGGAATTATCATATTTTTTTAAAGGGTGGGGATGCTAAAGGGATAGTACAGTGGGTAAAGCATTTCCTTTGCATGCTGCCAACCCGAGTTCAATCCCCAGAACCCCGTATGGTTGCCCAAGTCTTGCCAGGAGTGATCCCTGAGCATTGCCAAGCACCCCCCCCCCCACCCCTGAAAAAAAGGATGGGAATTAGAGAGAGAGATAATACAGGGGTTAAGGCTCTTGCTTTACATGCGGCCAAACCTGGTTCAATCTCCAACATCACATATGGTCCCCCAAACACCAGGGATCAGCCCCCTGGGTGCCCAAAGACAGGGACATTAAACATCTACAGAAATCTATAAAAAATGTCTATAACCTAGGCACCCTGAAAATTACTCATTAAAGTAGGAAGTATACAGGGAAAGTGAGACCAAGAGCTGGTGCCAGGCTGATGTAATCCTGATAGTCCACTGTCTGGACCCCATACACTTAATACTCTTAATAAATGAGTGTAGGGGCTGGAGCAATAGTACAGTGGGTAGGGCGTTTGCCTTGCACGCGGCTGACCCGGGTTTGATTTCCAGCATCCCATATGGTCCCCCGAGCATGCCAGAAGTAATTCCTGAGTGCAGAGCCAGGAATAAACCCTGAGCATCGCAGGGTGTGACCCAAAAAGCAAAATAAATGGAGTATATACTATACTCATATATATATCATGGTCACGGTCCTCCTGTTGTTCATCGATTTGCTTGAGTGGGCCCAGTAATGTCTCCATTGTGACAACTTGTTTCTGTGTTTGGCATATCGAATACATCATGGGTAGCTTGCCAGGCTCTGCCGACATATTATATACATATTATATATTATATACACACATATATATATATTATGTACTAATTGGACTGGAGCGATAGCACAGTGGGTAGGGCGTTTACCTTGCACGCAGCCAACATGGCCAACCTGAGTTCCATTCCTCTGCCCCTCTTGGAGAGCCCGGCAAGCTACCGAGAGTATCTTGCTCGCAGGGTAAAGCCTGGCAAGCTACCCGTGACGTATTCAATATGCCAAACACAGTAACAACAAGTCTCACAATTTGTTGTGAGATGTTACTGGTGCCCGCTCGAGCTAATCGATGAACAGTGGAAGGACAGTGCTACAGTGTTATGTACTAATTCACTTTCACTGTCCTCCCGTTGTTCATCAATTTGTTCAAGCGGGCCCAGTAACGTCTGCATTGTGACACTTGTTACTGTGTTTGGCATATCAAATACGTCATGGATAGCTTGTCAGGCTTTGCTGTGCGGGCAAGATACTCTCGGTAGCTTGCCGGGCTCTCCAAGAGGGGTGGAGGAATCGAACCTGGGTCAGCCAGGTCAGCCGTGTGCAAGGCAAAAGCTCTACCCACTATACTATTGCTCCAACCTAATAACTCCTGATATGTAGACCAAAAAGAGTCAACCTTTTGTATAATAAATGTGCTTATCCTAGGGAGAACTCCAACATCTGATGAGTGTAGGGGTTGTGGCACACCAGTCAGACACCAGAATATGCTGGAAGAAGTCCTGCTACTGCCTACAGACCTTCAGAGGATTGACCCTAGGGTCAATACGCCCTTCCTCGATGTCTGAGATTTCCTGCCGAATGCTGATCATGGCATCACAGAATCGATCCAGCTCTGCCTTGTCTTCTGACTCCGTGGGTTCAACCATGAGAGTCCCTGCCACGGGCCAGGACATGGTAGGGGCATGAAATCCTGCAAGGGAAATGGAATACAGTGTCATTCATGTTGTCCTCCCTGGTGTGGAAGGAGAGACCCTCCCTATCCTACACTGGATGAATCTGAAAATTTCTGTTTCTATTTGGAGATTGAGCTCAGCACCGTTTGTGGGAGAGAAACTGAGGAAATCTAACATTCAACAATAGACACGTGGTTCCTAAATGCCAGAGCAAAACCCATTTGCTTTGGGAATGTTTTATTTTACTAACTTATAGACTCCCCCACCCCCGCCTACCCCCCTCTACGCCCGGCTCCTGATTGATTCCAGGTACATGATTCAGTATCTAGAGGCAGCAACAATGCAGTCAAAAAGGCAAGTGCTTTCTGTTACTCTTTAACATTGCCGAGAATCCTGGGCTCTCTGTGTAACCTGTGGTGCAGTTTTTCTCTGGTGGCTGGACATTCAGTTTATGCCTCCAGTGTCTCGGCCCAAGGGGCCAAAGAGTGTCCCAAAGCCAAGTCTCCACCCACATACCACACTCTCCACGTCACTCACCATAATCCTGAAGTCTCTTGGCCACATCCACAGCCTCAATATTTGCAGACTTTTTGAAGGGTCTTGTGTCCAAAATAAACTCATGAGCCACATAACCTGTTTAGGGAAATTGTTTCAACACAAAATCAGTATCAGCTTTGTTTTACCCCAACAAATGAGTAAAAAAGCCCAGGCTTTTTAGACCTACCAATGAGGAACAAAAAGGACCAAGAGCGTGTGGTAAGTTTAGAGTTGGCAATCAAGACTTTAGCTGTTCTTAATAAAAATAAAAACTGAGAGCCAGTGTGACCAATCCTTAGCACCACACACCCAAGGAGCCAGAACGCTGACGGGAGGAGGAACTTGAGTGCCAAGGAACTGCTGAAATGTCATCTAGGCCCTTACAGAAAAGACTTCTAGAAATAAAGATATTTTGACATTTCAGCAGCTTCACAACCATCACCGCCCCCAGCATCAATTCAGTTTTTCCCTATGTATATGTAAATAGTACAAAACATACATCCATCAGACACTTTCAATTCTATGTGATGCTTCAAAAAGAATTCTTTTGGATTTTTTTTTTTTTTTTGCTTTTGCTTCAGGGTTCTGAGAATAAGACATTGATGGCGCAGGGCGAGAGACAGAGCTTAAAGGGTCGATGTAAATGGTAGGAAATAACCACGAGAGTGTGTGTGGGGCTGAGGGTAGGTGAGATGGAGAAGAGACCACGATGACAATAATAGCTGGGAATGATCACGCTGGACAGGATCTGAGTGTTAAGTCAGTAAGGGATAGTCTTGATAACCTTTCAGTATTAATACTATAAACCACAATGCCGGGAGAGGGAGGGAGGGAGGGAGGGAGGAAGAGAGAGAGAGAGAGAGAGAGAGAGAGAGAAGAAAATTGCAAAGGTGGATGTTGTAACACCGTATGGGTGAAATCTAATCATGAACAGCTTTGTAATGGTCTACCTCACAATGATTCACTAAGAAAGTTTAAAAAATAAATAGATAAATAAAGGGCCGAGTGCAGCTTTGCAAGCAGGAGGCGGGTCCATTTCCAGTATAACGTGGCCAGGAGCAGCTCCAAGCACAGCAGTGGGAGGGGGAGAAATATAGTTCCTAAGCATCCCTCCCAGGTGCGACCCCCCAAAACAAACAAAAGCAGACCATGCAACAAACCACACATAAAAAGGCGTATGCGTGTGTGGGGGTGGGGGGTGGGGTGTCAGTCTGGTCTAAACTGCCTCCCAGAGGATCACCATTGCCATAGAAAACACTACTGACCCCCACCCACCATCAAGAACAAAACACCAAGTGTGCATCCGTGAGATGCTAATGGACGGCTTCTGTTTATCCCACTTCCCTGACTGAGCAAACAAGGGATCTGCCACCGGGCACATAGCGGAGGAGACAAAGCTGCCGGGCACAGCTCAGCGTGGTCGCTCGTCCTTCTGCGGCCCTCCAGGAGGGTGTGTGCACTTGTGAATAACACGAAAAGGCAGGCTTTGTTTGGCAAAGCATGAGACGACAATGCCGCTGCATTATTTAATAGCGTGTTTTCTAGCAATGATGGAGCATAAACGCAAAAGAACTTGGATTGGAAAGTAAAATATTATATCCACAGTCACATCAGCTTAAAAGGAAACACACGAAACACAGTACTGCCCACAGTGTTGTGACCTAGGAGAATCTTTAAGGGGAAATTATGAAATTAATATTCAAACTCATTGAGGTTTCTCGGGAGTTCAAGATGCCGCTCTGCTTAACGTTCATTGATTTAAAGAAGGCCTTTGATTCTGTTGAGACGGAAGCGGTCATTGAAGCCCTAGTCAGTCAGGGCATTCAAGCCCAATACATCAGGATCCTCCGTGAGCTGTATTGCGGATTCACTACCAGGATCTCACCATTCTACAAAGAAGTGATCGTTGATGTCAAGAGAGGGGTGCGGCAGGGTGATACCATTTCACCAAAACTCTTCAGTGCCACCCTCGAGAACATCATGCGACGACTGGAATGGGAAGGAATGGGAGTGAAGATAGATGGTCGGCAACTACACCACCTCTGCTTTGCTGATGACATTGTTTTAATAACACCAAACATCAGCCAAGCGGCACAAATGCTGGCCGACTTTGACCAGATTCACTAAGAAAGTTTAAAAAATAAATAGATAAATAAAGGGCCGTGAGTGTGGAAAGGTAGGACTACAGCTGAATCTTACGAAGACAATGTTTATGAGAAACAGCCTTGTTCCTGACGCCCCATTCGCTCTCAATGGAACGACCATCTCCGAATGCAACAGCTATGTGTACCTAGGTCGAGAGGTCAACATGACAAATGACCTGGCACCCGAGCTGCGCAGGAGGAAGAGAGCGGCTTGGAACGCCTTCAAGAACGTCGAAGAAATAGCTAAGAGGACGAAGAACCTCCGGCTCCGGGCACATCTCTTTGATTCCACTGTTCTTCCTGCATTAACATATGCCTCAGAAACCTGGGCCCTACGCAAACAAGATGAGAACGCCATTCAGGTCTCCCAAAGAATAGAAAGAGCTATGCTTGGAATATCACGTTTCACTCAAATGAGAGAACGAATCCGGAGTTCTGACATCCGTCGACGATCAAGGATCAGGGACGCTGTCTCATTTGCCAAGGTGTCGAAAATCAGATGGGCTGGTCACGTAATGAGATTTAAAGACGACCGTTGGACTAGAGCTGTTACTGATTGGATTCCACGGGATGTCAAGAGACCGCGTGGCCGCCCACCTACCAGATGGTCAGACTTCTTTGTCAAGGTCATGAACGATCGGTTTGAGGCCCTCCATGTTCCCGGAGCGAAGAGATGCCATTGGGCTACACTAGCACGCGACAGGGACAAATGGAGACGTTACTGGCGCCCGCTCGAGCAAATCGACGACTAACGGGAAGTTAAGTGATTAAGTGATTAATATTCATAACCACATTAACTGTTAAATCTGAGAATGCCCAAGTATGCCACCCCACGTTGGGGGCGCGACTTGAACCAGTTACCTTTCTTCTCTGAGCCTCTAGCAGACATGCTGAGAATTTGGAGGGGGTTGGGGGGTGGACACAAGAAAAATGGCATTGAAGCCCAGGGCCTGAGAGGAGGGGAGGGAGGGGAGAGGAGGAAGACGGGCAGGAGAGAGTAGTTCCCCCACCTCAGACCTCAGGGCCTGCTGAGCAGAGGGGCAGGGCCTGAGAAAGGCCTTCAAGCCCAGCCCAGCGCCGGCCCCGCAACACAACCGAGGGCCTGGGAAGCGCCCCATTCCGAAATGAAGTGCAGATGTGAGTCTCCACAGCCGCATTCTTGAGTGTGTGAAAGTCGCTACAGCCGCATTTGCTGTCCACTCTGAAAGGAGTGTCATATAGACTCCTGCCTGTTGGAGACCGATGCCCAAAATGTTTGTGTTTGTTTCTAAAGAGCCAAGATAGATGGACCCTCACGGACACAGGGTGTGTCCAGGCAGTTGGAAGCGGACATTGTAAGCTGAGCCGGGCATGTCCAAAGCTTCGCTGTCCTGCTTTTCCCACCACAACAAAGAGGGCCCGCAGCTGAGTCTGAGAAGGGAGCAAATCCGGCCCAGCCCTGATCCATCCCCACAACCACACCCCAGCCCTACTCCCCAGGCCCGAGTACTGACTGACCCACCAGACCGTCACAACTGGCTGAGAATTCCTGCCAGTAGACCCTGGACCTCCAGAGCACTGTATGGGAAGTCTCCCCCCACTCCAATGGGGGAAAAAAGCAAAAAACCAACAGAAAGGAGCAATGAGAAAGGAGAGGGCAGGGGTGGAATGATGGAAAAGCAAATGAAAGATCTGAGCTTGAAAACTCATCCCTCCCCACCCCCACATGGCATTTTTTTTCTGGGGCTGAATCTCCAGCTTCCTGTAACTGTTTGAGAACAGGGACCAGCCGGGCCTTGTTTGTCTCACACATTCTCAGGGGCTGCTGAGAAAGAAAGGGGACTCATTAGCTAATGGCTTGAATTCAGTCAAGTTTGGTTGCAATGCAGGGCCCGTGACTAAGAATCAAAACGCCTGCTTCCGTGGGATGAGACCTGGGACTTGTGGGCCTCAGAAAGGTTCCTACCAAGCCAGGACATGGAAGTTCAGTTCCAGAGGTGCACATCTATCCATAAAGAACACTGGGAAACCTCCTTAGAGACAGGGACTTCCAGACAGAATTGGATACGGCTGAAGACAAAAAGGAATGCAGGCATCTAAGCAATGAAAACATGAACGAAACAGGATGCCACATGGTACAGACTGATTTACATTGAGATCGCACAGTGGACTTGACCTTCCAGAAGAATGAACACCTGCAGGCTTATTTTTAATCCCTTGTTTAAGGGCCATACCTGGCATGGTGCTCAGGGATCATTCCTGGCAGGTTCAGGGGATCATATGGGGTGCTAAGGCTTGAGCCAGGTTGACCAAGTACCAGGCAAGTGCTCTCCTTACTGTACTATTGCTCCAGCCCCCTAGGTGAAACTATCTTCTCACCCTCCTCCCCCAAAAAAACCCTCAGAGTCAGGAGTAACCCCTGGGCACCACCTGATGCAGAGCCCCTGGGGTGGGGAGGGGATTATTGAGGGCTGGGGAGATGCTCAAAGGCCTGTAGTATATGCTCTGAAGGCGAGAGGCCTGCATATGCTGCCCCGCATGGAGTGATCCATGAGCACTGCAGGGTGAGGGTATCCCCTCCAACCAAGTCTCATCTAGAGTCAGGAATAAGGCTCAGCAGTAGAAATGAAAGACACACCTCAAGTCCTTCTGAATTAGATCCCTGGGAACATTCAAACAACACCCCCCACACCCCATGCACCCCCCAAAATCAACTGGGGTTGGAGAGATAATCCGGGGGTTAAGGAGTTTGCCTCATATGTTAACCTAGTCTGGTCCCCTGGGAATTGCCAGAGATGGCCCTGGAGAAGACCCAAATAACACTGGGTGAGTTCTGGTGGTCACTGGAAGCTCAGGGGCTTTGCATAGGACCATTAACCACTTGGGAAACAGCCCCTCCCCTATCTTACCTCTTACCTAAAATAATCCCTTCATCGAACCTAATCATTACTGTTCCTCCTCCCTTCCCTCCCCACTGCCCTCCACCAGTTTGCTTGTCACTTCTCTGCTTTGCAAAAACCAAGCTCAAGAGAGAGAACAAAAGGGAATGCCCTGCCACAGAGGCAGGGTGGGCTGGGGGGCATGGGGGGTGGGAGGGATACTGGGATCCATGGTGGTGGGAAATGGACACTGGTGGAGGGATGGGTATTTGATCATTGTATAATTGAAACCCAAGCACAAAAATTTGTAAGTCTACAACTGTATCTCATGGTGTCTCACTAATAAAAATTTAAAAAAAAAAAAAAACAAGCTCAATTGTTCAGCTAATGTTTTCAAGTCTCAACGAAGTGGTTTGTGAAGACAAGCCTGGAGTTCATTAAACTGATTGCCTCATAGTCATCTCTAATTCCACAGGCCTGAAACAAGTAAATGTGATTAAGAGGAATAACAGCCTTCTAATATTGGCCTTAGAAATTAGGGAGCATAATGTGTTTATTAAGAACATGTCAACTGAGAACTGGCCTTTAATAGGAAGCGCATCACTGTAGGAAGAGTAGAGAGATAGGACGAGGGTGGGGACACTGGGACATGGTGGAGGCGCGTTGACCCTGGTGGAGGTCATGGTGTCCTTTTAGGGGTCCTTTTTTAGAGGTCCCAAAATACTAAGCCTCAAGTGATACAATGAATGTGTTTAGTAGACCAAGCATGACACAACTTTTTGTTTTATGAAGTCTAGGATTAGGTAATAAAGTGGGATTGGGTCATAAAGTCTGTACTCACCAATTTATGCTTGGGATGGGAAATACGAGTCATCATTTAATTCTGGGGAAAAGTGTCAAAACAAATGGAAACTTCATCCATCTTTCATCCATCTTTTAGTGCTCAGAATTCCTTAGCATGGGCCTAGAATTTTAGTGCTGAGTATATGGCAGTCTCCAGAGGAACATGCTCCATCTACCCTCCTCTATTCTGGAGAGAATCAGACTGGCTGGAGTGATGGTACAGTGAGTAGGACACTTGCTCTGCATGTGACCAACTCTGATTCAATCCCTGGTACTGAATAGAGTTCCCTGAATTCCTCCAGGAGTTATCCCTGAGCACAGAGCTAGAAGTAAGCCACGAGTACCAAGGGGTATGGACCATTAGATAGATAGATAGATAGATAGATACCCAAGGGGGGGGGGTGGGAGACACCCCACAGTGCCAAGAATAGAACCCAGGGATTCTACGTGCAAAGTGTGAGCTGCGGTCTTGCGTGACTGTTTCTAGATCTTTCTCCAGAGCCTTTCAAGACTGCCCCCACCCCAGATATATTCAGTGGAATACTATGCAGCTGCAAGAAATGATGAAATCATGTCATGCAACGTGCTGCAATGTGCTTGGAACTGGAAGATATCATGTTCAGCGAAGTAAACCAGAAAAAGACAATCACACGATGATCTCACTTATCTGTGGTACATAGAATACTGGATGAGAAAATGCATTGTAGTAAAGAGGGAATGCCTAGATCACCCTTGATCCCAGTGCTTAGAGATGAGAATGACAGAGAAAGAAAGAAATCAAGGGGGATGAAGAGATTGGAAAGCAATGGGTGAACAGGCATCAGGGCTTCATTTGTACTGTGGTGGAACAACGATATATACAAAACTGAGACTTTCAACAAAAATGAAAATCTGAGATCTAAGTTGCAACCACTGAAATTTTGTATTGTGCCTGTCAAGTTGACAGGCGGGTTGGGGGATAGAGAGGAAAATTGAAACTGGCAGTGGGACTGGTGTTGAAATATTATATGTCTAAAACTCAACTATCTATAACTTCGTAAATCACAGTTCTTTAATTAAAAAAATAATAAAACAATCACTAACATGAAAAAAAAATGGACACCACCATCACACACCCGTGCTCCCCCCCCACCCACCCACCCCAAGCCATACTAGCTCTCCTGCCTCATCCTCCTTTGCTTCCTCTTCTCCCAGCTCCATCCTTCAACCCAGCCAACTCCAGACACCCTCATGCTCCTTTCTGACTCGCTCCATATCTGTGTTTACTAGCATTTTGGGCACACTTTTCTCTAGGCTCACCTCAGATGGCTCCTCCCCCAAAAAGACTCTGCGACTCCTTCACATGCCTGGATGACTCTATGCACGGGACATCCCCACAACACTGAGTTGAGTGGTTTGGGGTGTTTATGGGCACATGACTCAGTGGTGTCGGATCCATGTGAGCCTTGGGCCATGCTAACTCAGGATCTCACAAACTGCCCATTAAAGTTAATTCCATAAATAACTTTTTCCTGTTTGTAGTACAAAACAGAAGCTTCGCACCACTTCAAAGATAAAAAGTGGTAGATGTCTCAAAATCAAATCTACTGGGTCAAAATTTTGGTTAATACAAAAAGTGAAGTGGGGGGCCAGAGTGGTAGCACAGCAGGTAGAGCACTTATTTCGCACGTGGCCAACCCAGATATGCTCTCCCAGCACCCCATATGGTCCCCAGAGCACTGCCAGGTGTGATTCCTGAGTGCAGAGCCAGGAGTAACCCCTGAGCACCACCAGGTGTGGCACAAACAAACAAACAAAGAGTGAAGTGATGGAAGACTTATACTGATACTTACCTCTTGCACCTCTAAAAAGGATTCGGTAGTGTTTTTCTAACCTCTTGGCCATGTAATTGGCATTTAATATAGCCACTTCTGTGGCCTGCTTAAGGCCCTTGCCCCCCATCATCTGCGAGAGAGAGAAAGAGAGACATCGGCTGTAAAACAATTCACCCCAATTGCTCACCCATCATAGCCACTCGAAGAGGAACCCCATCCACAACAGGAAGTGAGCCCACCACCACCATACAGACTGCAGATGACTCAAAAACCCAAACAAGGACATCTTCCAATGCTCTCTGGAACTGGAAGGACCTCATTACATGTTTCTTGTACCACTAATTTTACATTTCTTATTGTCTTAACAAATTCCAAAACAGGGCGAATTGCTGACTATTGCATATCTAAATAGGAAAAGGGATCATTCTTGGAACTATTCTACACATATTTTGAAGGGTTTTTTGGTTTTTTTTTTTTTTTTTGCTTACTTGCTTACTACGAATCTGGGGTTTGGCTTTGTTCTGTTACCGTTGCCAGGAATCTCATGGGATCTTGGCCAGAACCCGCCACTCGGTCCCGGTCCTTTTGGAATGATTCACCTTCCAACTGTCCTAATCAAAGCCATTTATGTTCCAATGCAAATTCCCTTTTTATTGTTCTCTGGTGGGAATAAGCCCCTATGATCATATGAGTTAAATGTCATCACCAGCAAAGAGCATAAATCAAAGTTGCATCCACTTTATTTCTCCCCCAGAATTCCTCATGAATGATTGAGGCCATGACAAATACATAATTACTGCAATGCAGTGAGAACACACCAAATAGACCTCAGACACCCAAGTCCCAAGGAGAGGAAATCTTGTGTCTGTGTGATAGAAGCAGAGTTTGTAAGAAAGAACTCTTGAGTAGAAACTTAAAGGAGGATAGAGCAGAGACAGGTAGAAAGAAAGGGGAAAAACTTTCTCCAAGGCAGATAGGGTCCCCTTTGTTGTCAGGTGGGTTGTGACTCTTGCTCATAAGCTTTGACCCTTTATGCTAGGAAGCACCTGGGATTCACCCCCAGCTGCTGGTACTAAGCAGCTTGATGGTTTAAACTGTGTCCCGTGTGCTGAATCTGAACTCCCTATGAGGGAGGGTAGGCATACAAGTTGTAGAAAAATTCTATAAATCCTCTAAGGATTTTGTGAGAATAATGAGTATCTTTCTTGTTTTCTTCTCAGGGCCTGTATGTAGGCACTCACTGAGCTATATTCCCAACCTTTATTTCATTTTTTAAAAAAATCTGGGGGACCAGAGATAGTACAGGAGTTAGGGTGCTTGCCTTGCATGTGGCTGCCTGAATTCAGTCCCTAGCCCCATATGGTCCTCTGAACACCGCCCCCTCTCCCTGCCCAGGAGTGATTCCTGCACACAGAGCTAAGTATATTCTGAAAATGTTTTTAATAATTGTTTTTTCCAGTGTTGGGGCCACAACAGCGGTGGTCAGGGCTTACTCCTGAATCAGGATTTAGGGGTCACTCCTGAGTGCCTGGGGTTGGGACAGACCATATGTTGATATGTGTGGCTGGGATCAAACAGAGCCACTGGACTATCTCTCCACTTCATTTCATTTTTACTGAGGCCCTGGGCCAGAGAGAGAGGGCTAAGATGCTTGCCTTCCATGCTGCTGACTGACCTGATTCCTAGCACCACTGAGAATAACCTCCAACATGACCAGGTGTGATGCCAATCACTCCTCTCCAAAAAGTAAACGTGATAAAGTGAAAATTTAAACTAAGGCTCTATCTACACCGTGCCATACAGAAAACCCCATCTGGTGCATTGATTCTCTCAAAGTGGAAACTTTTACTTTCAACCCAAATATGCTCTTAACGAATAACATCTGCTCACAGTGCCTAAAAACCCAAAGGGAACTAGGAATAAGATTCGATATACAGTGCCCCAAAACAGATAAAGAATGGATAAAGAAACTATGGCACATCTGCACAATGGAATACTATGAAGCTATTAGGAAAAATGAAGTCATGAAATTTGCCTATAAATGGATGGACATGCTGAGTGAAATGAGTCAGAAGGAGAGGACAGATATAGAATGACTACATTCATTTGTGATATATATATAGGTAAAGGTAAAGGCCCTCCCGTTGTTCATCGATTTGCTCAAGTGGGCCCAGTAACGTCTCCATTGGAGACTGTTGTTACTGTGTCTGGCATATCGAATACGTCACGGGGAGCTTGCCAGGCTCTGCCGTGTGGGCAAGATACTCTCGGTAGCTTGCCGGGCTCTCCGAGAGGGGCGGAGGAATCGAACTCGGGTTGGCCATGTTGGCTGCGTGCAAGGCAAACGCCCCACCGCTGTGCTATTTAAAAATATCCAAGGCCAGTATGACAACAATAGTTGGAAATGATCACACAAGGACTGAGTGTTAAAAATAGGTAAAGAAATATACATGATAACCTTTCAGTATCTGTATTACAAACCACAGTGCCCAAAAGGAGGGAGAGAGGGAGGGAAGGAACAAGGAGGGAGGGAGGGAGGGAGGGAGGGAGGGAAAGAGAGAGAGAGAAAGAGAGAGGTGCCTTCCATAGAGACAGGCTGAGTGTGGGGTGATGGGAGGGAAACTGGGGATATTGGTGCTGGCAAATGTACACTGGTGTAGGGGTGAGTGTTGGAACACTGTATGACTGAAACCTAATCATAAACAGCTTCGTAAGAGTCACAGTGATTCAATTAAAAAAAAAATCTATCTAAAGAAAAGCTTCTATTTACAAAGAAGCAGCCCTTTATTGTATTTGTTTTTGTTACTACTTCTTGCAAAACAATGCATATAATTTTTAAGAGCAGGTTTTGGTCTCTGAGGCCGAGAGTATTTGTTCCAGCTTCCCGGAAAGTTTTCATTCCTAATCATCAACCCTGTATTGTTCCAGACTCAGAGCCAGCCCCGAGAGCCTGCACTGAGCTCTGCAGAGCCCAGCTTCGGCGGCGTCGGCTTGCACCAGCAGCCACCTTTGTTTAAGAGGGAGATTGTTCAGGAAGGCCGCTAATTAGCAGCTAAAAAAAAAACCCCGCATTCCTCTCCGCTGCACAGGCCCATCAGGCCCAGAGCTAGCCAGACAGGCCAGTTTGAATAAGAACTGTGTAGAATAAACTCTGGCCCCATTGGCTCTTTAGAGAAACACAAAGGAAGGAAGCGCATTCTCTGACACAGTCTAAACGCCCATGAGAATACAGCTCCTGGGCTGAAAGCATGAAAAGCTTCAGGAGCTCAGCCCACAAGCAAACACCCCCGACTTTTTATCTGATCCTCCAGGCCCCCAAGAAATAGAAAGTGGAGCAAGATGGACTCCAAAAATGCAACACAAGCGCTCAACTAAGAGGAATGATTAGTGTAGGCCCTGGATTTCACTTATAAGGGCCGTGGAAATCAAATCCTACAGGAAACCGAATGACGTGGCTGGAACATCTCGATGACTCATGGGCTTGATCTCTGTCTGGAAAAAAATCTATCTGGCGGGTCCACTTTCTTATGTGAAACCCACAATGAGACCCCAAAGGAAACAGCCTAACAAAGCAGCAATGAGAAGAAAACGAATTTCAGCTGCACACAGGAAGGTGGTTCCACCCAGCCATCGGCAGTCCTCCCTGGGGTTTCTTCTCTTTGAAGCCAACAAGGCGGGCTGCAACCTTGATGCCTCCCTGCCGGCCCCCCTGCCCGTTCCCCCCTGCCCTGCCCCTTTCAGAGGCCTCACCTTAATGTACGCCCAGGAGATAGGCAGGATGCAGCTGGAACCCCAGGGGGCGGCACTGACAGTACCCACCGGTCGGGCATCTTCCTTTGGTGTTAATGACATGATGGGATGGTTGGGTAGAAAAGGGGCCAGATGCTTCTTCCTGTATTTTTTTTGTAAGGAAATTGTAAGATGTCAGAAAGATGTATTCACAAACAAAAGACGCATTCACCAACACGGCTGTCACAGCAGCCGCTCTTTCCAGCAGAGGAACTCTGGCTATGCGGTGCAGGTTCTAGAAGGGTTGTTTCTTCACCCTCTCCAGGAGGCGGGGCTGACTGATTGCCCACCAGCACCCCAAGCTCACCCACGCAAGGAGACAGAGGATGTCCCAGAGGCAGGCAGCCATGGATCAACATGCCACGTCGTGGGCTCATCAAAATATGGGGACTTGCCACCCACCCCCAGGAGTGACCCCTCAGCGCAGAGCCAGGAGAAAGCCCTGAGCACAGTCAGGGGTGGCCCCAATACAAAACAAAAAACTGAACATATGTGGGGGCATCCCAGCCCCATAGCCCAATCTCTTTTCCCCAGAATCCAGGGGGATTTATATACTTATATTTATTAAAGCCCCACGGAGTTACTTGTGAACACTGTGATTCACAACTTCCTCTCTCCCCATGGAAGCACTAGGGCACCTCCATTTACTGCAAAATCATCCTCAAAGAGAAAATCAGAAAAGTGCAAGGAGTCCAGGCTCTGGCCACACGTGTTAGCTCAGCTGATACATTGTGGGGAGACAACGCATCATTTTCACACACTGGTTCCACTCTTTTGGCAAAAGTCAAAAGCGATAGCACAGAGGGTAGGGCTTTTGCCTTACATGCAGTGTAAAATGTGGCTCACGGCGGCACGGGAGATTCCTTTGGGCTTGCTTCTGACCTTGAGCTGTAAGGTTAGTGTCTTACTAATTTCAGATGCAGTAGGAATTCCAGCTACAAAGTGTTCAACACCGCACAGCCAATTCATTTTTGGTGAAGGGAGGGATGGTGAGAACATTTAAAAATCCACCTCTCAGAAAATTTCAGTTATACAAAACAGTGTTGGGGGCTGGAGCGATAGCACAGCGGATAGGGTGTTTGTCTTGCACGTGGCCGACCCGGATTTGATTCCCAGCATCCCATATGGTCCCCTGAGCACCGCAAGGGTAATTCCTGAGTGCAGAGCCAGGAGTAACTTCTGTGCATTGCCGGGTGTGACCCAAAAAGCAAAAAAAAAAAACCAACAAAAAAACAAACCCAGTGTTACCAATCCTGTGTTGATGCAGTCATGTTATAGTGAGATTCTCTGATTGTATTCATCTTACAGATGAAAATTAAATAAATAAATGTCACTGTCCACTGTCCTCCCATTGTTCATCGATTTGCTTGAGCAGGTCCAGTAACGTCTCCATTGTGACACTTGTTACTGTGTTTGGCATATCGAATACACCACGGGGAGCTTGCCAGGCTTTGCTGTGCAGGCGAGATACTCTCGGTAGCTTGCCGGGTTCTCCGAGAGGGGAGGAGGAATCGAACTCGGGTCAGCCATGTTGGCCACTTGCAAGGCAAATGCCCTACCCACTGTGCTATCGCTCCAGCCCTAAATAAATAAATAACAGCAACAACAAAGAAAGATGCTTGTTATGTTGGCCAGGGAGCGAGGTCAGCAGGCTGAGATCCTGCAGCCTGTGATCCCTGGAATCAGACATTCCGTCCTCAACCTCAGCACTGCCAGAAGTAGCACCTGGGAATTCACCCGCTAAAAAAACTTTTAGATTAAAAAAGGGGGCGGGGCCCCGCTGGAGCGATAGCACAGAGGGTAGGGCGTTTGCCTTACATGCAGCCAACCCGGGTTCCCAGCATCCCATATGGTCCCCTGAATACCACCAGGAGTATTTCCTGAGTACACAGCCAGGAATAAGCCTTGTGCATCGCCGGGTGTGATCCAAAAAGCCAAAAATAAATTCATTAAAAAAAAAGTTTCGATCCACCAAAGTGGCTAAGATACTTGTTTAGTACAGGGTTGACCCGAGTTTGATACCTGGAATGCCATAAGGTGTCCCAAGTCTGCCAGCAGTGATCCCTGAGCACAGAGCCAGGAGTACGCTCTGAGAAAGCTCCAGGTGGTAGCCCCCAAATAGAAAACAATTTTAAACCTTTTGTCAATCTTTCTACATGCCCTCAACCCCAGAAAACTACTTTTCTACTGAGTCCTTATAGTGTAAGTTAGTGCCATTGTAACTATATCATCTTACTTAAAAAAGAAAGACAGGACTGGAGAGATAGTACAGCAGGTAAGGCACTAAGGTTTAATCCCTGCAACCGGGCGTGGTATCCTGAGCAATTGCCAAATGTTAATGTTCCGGTTCTTATTCATGCTAGTCCTGTGGAAAACCCTGTTGATTGCTCTGTGAATTAACCAGCTCTCTCTAGGCAGGGCTGGGAACTCAGTATAACCACACACTGTGAGTATGGATCCAAGCAGAGCTCTCCACAGACATCCTTGAAAGGCCTTTCTAAGGTTGCACATGCAGCCCTGTAACACGCTGCACAGGAAGATGCACTTCATGCTGGCGGAAGGGCCTGTGTCCCAGGATGGGAACAGCCGGATTGGGGCTGAGCTTTCATACTTGGGATAGTCCAGAACTCACACTCCAATGGGCCCCATGCCGGGGCCGCCTCCTCCGTGGGGGATACAGAAGGTCTTGTGGAGATTGAGGTGCGAGACATCAGACCCAAAGTCTCCAGGACGACAGAGTCCCACCTGCCACAGGGGAAGAAACAAAGGCAAAAGTCAAGAGCCTGTCAGGGGTTCTGGAGTGTTCACAGAAGGCCTCTCGGTACAAGCAAGTTCCACAGCCCCAGCCTGACATCCCATAGGTAGTATGGCTTCTGGTTTCTATAGAAACCGTGGGGGGAGGGGTCATTTCACCTAATTTAGATATCGATTTCAATATTCAGTCCATTCTTAATTACTACTACAAAGAGGCAGTGAGCACTGTACTGAATTCTTGCCCTGTGAGTTTTACCTTCTCTTGGAACAGTAGCTTTTGGACATGCTATGCTTTACCCCTGGTCCAACTGAATATGAAAGGTCAGCCCCAATCCAGTTGTTCCTATGAGGAATACAGACTTCCCACCAGCATGCAGTGTACCCCTGCAGGGCACACCACAGGGACGGGAAGGGCTGCTGTAACCAGCCAACGGTTAACAACAAATGTACCAAACCCAGCAATAGCATTCAGTGGGTGGGCCTATCTGTCATTTTGACATTAAGGCTAATTCTGAAGATGACCAAGGATAAAAATTTCACTTCTGGGGGCCAGAGCAATAGTACAGTGGGTAGGGTGTTTGCCTTCTATGGAGTCAACCAAGTTCAATCCCCGGCATCCCATATGGTTTCCCCAAGCACCTCCAGGAGTAACTCCTGAGCACAGAGCCAGGAGTAACCCCTGAGCATTGCTGGGTGTGACCCCAAAAAAAAAAAAAAGAAATTCACTCTTACTAAAACGATAAACAATTCCTAAACTGCACCTACAAAAGGAAGCAGACAGGAGCAAAGAGCTGCCAAATTCTCCTTGTGTTTATCTATGTTTAGGATAGAAGAGACTAAAAGAGTCTTTTTAAAAAGGCATGGTGTCAGAGTGATAGTTCAGTGGATCGGGTGCTTGCCTTGCAAGAGGCCAACCTGGGTTCAATCCCCCCAATCCCATATGGTTTCCCTAGCACCACTGGGAGTGATCCCTAAGCACAGACACAGGAGCAGACCCTGAACATTGCTGGGTGTGGCCCTCAAACAGAAAACAATGACCAAGAAGTCTGACCAGTCTCAAAGATGATCTCTTCAGTCTTCTCCAAAGGCTCCCCTTAGAGGTGGATATCACACTCTGAATCTCACACTCCCTCACCCTAAGGGCTCCAGGGGATGGACCCCCCAGGAAAGAATTCACCAGCTGTTTCCCAGGAGGAGGCTGAAGCCAGATTACTGAAGATCCAAGACCAGGGGATAGCAAGAAACACTGTTTGCAGATCATGGGTGAGAATTGCTGCAGGGTGTCAGGACCTTGCCTGTGCCGCCTGTGGCATCCAGACAAGACAGGACAGCAGAGGCCTCTCCCTGCTTCTGTCATCGCCTCTCCAACATCATCGCCCCCAGTCCCCCGGGGCCATGAAGGTGAGGTACAGAATTCGAAGTGGGCATTAAGAAAGGCAGCCCCTGCTCTGATTTCACTCTCATGTTTCAAGACAGCCGCCAAGAAGTCAGAGGGGAATGCTTGTTTCTCAGCGGGAAGCAAGGGAGCCGCTCTTGCTCTGCCCACCTGGGCGTTCATGTTGGCCCCGTCCAGGTAGACCTGTCCCCCGTGTTGGTGGATGAGGTCGCACACGTCACTGATGTTCTCTTCAAATACCCCGTTGGTGGAGGGGTATGTGAGCATGATCGCCGCCAGATGCTCCTTGTGTTTATCCACCTGCGGGACCAAGAGGCAGGGGAAAGGTAAGAGAGGAAGCCAAACCCTGGCCTTTCAGCTTAAATGGATCATTTGGATCATTATGGAAGATAAAGTCTGTTTTTTTTTGTGGTTTTTTTTTTTTGCCCCCATTCTTGGAACTGCCCCAGCGCAGCGTCTGATGACAATAGTAGAGGATTCCTATAGTACTTTTAAGTCCATGGTCAAAAGCAAAGACTGGTAGGGCTGGAGCAATAGTACATCAGGTAGGGTGTTTGCCTCGCATGTGGTCGACCCAGGTTCAATTCCCAGCATCCCATATGGTCCCCTGAGCACCGCCAGGAGTAACTCCTGAGTGCAAGCTAGGAGTAACCCCTGTGCATCACCGGGTGTGACCCAAAAAGCCAAAAAAAAAAAAAAAGTCCAAAGACTGGAAGGATTATGGTGGTTTGGGCTCAACTCTGAGGGATTTCCCCCCACTTTGGGTCAAGTCATCTTGATGATCACTTCAGAATTTTTAGTGAGTCATGCATCTTCTTAGGGGCTAATCTCTTCCTGTTCACAATCTGTATGCCCATTGCCCTCCATGCTACTGAAAATTAGAATCCCCACAAGGAGTATACCTGCTCTGATTAAAAACAATAAATTTTTTACAGAAAGGAAATTATTATTTTAACACATATAAAAGGCAGATTCATAGTGTTCTGGCCAGAGTGTCAGAGCAGACTCGTGTGGCAATGGAAACAGAGGAGGGAAGTGGGTCTATCCTTTATTGGAGAGACTTTACAAGGATGACTATTGACCCTGAATATTTGTCGAGCAATGCAAGGGTGGTGAGGAGGATGGGAGCAGCGAGCAGCCTTGTGAATTTTCAGCTTCCCTTTGAAGCTGCTACATGAGTTGACTCGATGCCTAATAACCCCGACAAAATCACATTGCTATTCAGCTGATTTCCTTCCCTTTTAAGATGCAGCCTCCAGTCCACCAGTGGAAGCAGATATGGTTGCTAAGCAACCTCTTCCTGGAGGTTGGGAGGTTAGGAGTGGGGGTTGGTAATTCAGGAAAGACAGTGGAAGCCTGCCCAGCGTGCAGCAGGTAATAGCTGGTAAAGCCACTGACATTTGCTAAATTCTACATTTAGATTCTCATTCCCAACACCAAAATTGAGGGTAACTGCGACTGCCAGTTTGGTTATTAATGTGGGAGGTGGGGGGCGACTGGGCTGAAAGAAGCAAGCAGGTCCTGTGAGGGGGACCATTACCTCTGTCATAAATAATTCATTTGGTTTCTTGCACATGCATGAATTAGAGGATGAGATTTCAGTTTAAAGGAACTTCTTCCTCTTGTTGGTGAAGGAGGAGGTAGATTATGGTTGTATTAATTCTGGACCAAAATCGTGACTATTGCTCTTTATATTTTTCCTACAGAGACAAGTTTTTAAGTTGTTCACCATTTCCCCAGACTCTGTCGGAGAAGGTATTGCAGCCTCTTCATTAGAATGCAGAAGAAGATAACAAATGTTGATCTAAACCATCTTGTGCCCCACCCCCTCCCCACACCACACACACACAGACATGTCTTCCCAGCCCCTATACATTTGTTAAGTAAAAAAATATGGGTACCATGGCCTTGAGGTGAGCTACATCGATGCTTCCATATTTGTCTACCTCCACGGGCTGAATTTTCATGCCTGCCATGTAGGCACTTGCAGGATTGGTCCCATGTGCTGATTTCGGAATGAGGCAAACCTTAGAAAAGCAATAAGAAGAACCACTGAAGAGCAGAAAACAACAACAAAAGAAATCAACTGGAGAGCCAGTGAATTAGTTCAAAATGCTGAGCCCCAAAACTGAATCCCAATACCCCAGGCCTCCCACCTAGCACGCTGGGTATAATCATGGTGGTTCTGAGTACTGCTGGGGAACTCCCTTCCTATCACCCTGCAGGACAAAAACCTAACAAACAAACAAATAAAACACCCAGCTAAACATAATCACAGAGAATTCATTTCTCCACCGCATTTGGAGCACAAATTAATTAAATAGGCGCCATGTGCTTTATTTAAGCTGACCACTAATGCCTTAATATCTGCAGCAATTTAATTCTTTTTGTATGGCAACACAATGTGCAAAAGAGGAGATTGCATTTGAATCCCCCGAATACTATTCCCTAAAGGCCTTCAGAACAAAAACTCCTCTTCCTTATCCCACCAAGAACATTAAAAGTAAGCCTAAACTTATTCCAACTTTGTGTCAGTGAGAACAGATAGCAAAAACATGAGATTGGATGTTAAACTATAGAACCCAAACACACATCACAGCCTCGGTTCTATGCTTCACTTGGTTGAGATCCAGAAGAGATGGTAGATATAATACTCAAATCTCCCAGTATCAGTACACCGACTGTCATATAATTTATTGAATTATAAAACCCAGCTCCTGGAAGCGCACGGCCACATTTGCGGCCGCACGACATCTTATTGTGACATCTTATTATCTCATTCCCACTTTGGACAAACTGGCAGGCTACCGAATGTAACCTGCCCACATGGCACAGTCTGGCAAACTTCCCGTGGCATACCCAATATGCCAAATACCAGTAACAATGATGGGTCTCATTTTCCTAATCCTGAAAGAGCCTTGAATATGGCACTTTTTAAAAAATCTCAGGGCTAGGACAAAGGAGACGTTACTGGGGCCTGCTCGAGGCAATGAATGCTTGTCCCATGCAATAAATTGTACACTGAACACAAAAACATAACAACCTCCAACCTGTATTCACTTGGCCTTAGCTGAGTAAAACTAACTGCCGAACTCTAGCTTAATTTTACTGAAAGAGTTCTCTATTGTGACTAATCTGATAATGTTATTACAATAGCCATAAAAATCTAATTCAGGTGCCAGAGAGGTGTTCAGCAGATAAAGCACTTACCTTGCACGAGGTCGACCTGAGTTTGATCCTCACCCGAGCCTCACCTCACTTGGAGGTGAGACTGAATGCAGAGTCAGGAGTAACCCCTGAGCATTACTGTGTGTGGCCCCCAAAACAAAACAAAAATCTAATATACTTCCTGATAAAAGATGTAATGAGGGGCTGGAGCAATAGCACAGTGGGTAGGACGTTTGCCTTGCACGCGGCCGATCCGGGTTCGATTCCCAGCATCCCATATGGTCCCCTGAGCACTGCCAGGGGTAATTCCTGAGTGCATGAGCCAGGAGTAACCCCTGTGCATCGCCAGGTGTGACTCAAAAAGAAAAAGAAAAAAAAAAGACGTAATGAAATGAAGATCTCAGTGGTTTTGTTAGAGTCATTTACATGTGGGTGTAAATGTAAATATTTCGTATTTCTTTTGTGGACTTAGGGACTCCATCAAGGAAATCATTTCATTGCTTTAAAATTGTGGGGTTAAAAAGCTATCGATGTAGCTCAGTTACTCACACTTTAAAAATAAATAAAATGAAATAAAATGTTGTGGTGTTTCAAGAGTCATGGAACTAATAGGATCCAGATGTTACACTTTAGTTTATCCAATACTAATCCAAGTTGGTACATTTGTACCCACAAAAATGGATGCTGGGTTTTTCTAATTCCCAGGGGTGCTTGGTAAAAACCCACATAGATCCTCAGACACTTGCTGTGAAGTATTAAAGAACAATGCCCCTTTGCAAGGGCAATCAATTTCTTCTTGATGAATAAAATCTAGAAAAGAATGCAACTTTACCTCAGGCAATTGGAAAGCAAAAAAAAAACTCTCATTTAGGTGTGGGGGCTATTTTACGTGGTATTTTTACCACATAAGGTGAATGTTTTCCCTTTGTACAAAAAACTCAGTGCCTGATCAATAAGCTCAAATGAATCATTTGACCAGCAAACTGAGTTATTAATTATAAAGTGCTCAGAATCATGCCTAGTACATGTAATTGCTCTATCAGTGCTTCTTTGGATAAATTTGTATTCTCCCCAATTAATCAGGTATTCAAGAACTTGGCGTTGGTTGGGGGGAGGTGTGCCCTGGGGAAGAGGAGTTGGAGAGACAGCAGTGCAGGATTCTGCGCATGAGAGGCCTGGGTTCCATCCTTGACCCTGCCCGGAGTGGCACCCTGTACCTCCAGTACAGAGCCAGGAGTAGCCCTTGAGCACCCAAAAAAAAAAAAAAAAAGGTTAATTAAAAAATAAGACTGTGAGCATTACAATTTAGGACCCTCTGAAATTTAACTGCATGGGAAAGTGACTTCCCAGAGTAGTCTGAACAAGGGAAACTTTGAGGAAGTCGGGCGTGGGGGTGGGGCGTGGGGGTGGGGTGGGTGGGAGGATGTGCCCCACCCCACTTTTTATACAAGGATCCACATTCCTGGACCCCAGCAGAGTCTGGTGTGCAGGAGCAGCTGTCTCAGACAACTCCAATGTGGAAAGACCCTCCCTGATTATGTGAATAGTAAAACATTTTCTTTTCTAACCAAAAAAAAAAAGTCACTTCTAAAGAAGATCTTCGGTATAGACAGGATGTCAGCTTGGCGGCAGCTCGGGTGGCCAGACGGCCTCCCCTCCCTTCCCTCTGCGTCCCCTCCTGAAAATGCAGCATCTGGCGCCCCTGCCTGTCTTGGAGGGGAACAGCTCCCTGTGACATGAGCGGGAAATTTCAGGACAATGGCCTTGCAGGCAAGGCCGCAGGGGAGACACCAGGAGCGGGAAGGCGAAGCAGAACTCAGCTCTCTAGGTCCATCTCCAGCGCCTGGACTTTCACAGGTACTTTCGCAGACTGAGCAGTGCCAGCATCCCTGAGTGAGGGGCCTCAGTGTGAGCTGGCTGTTGGCCTCCCCTGAGCAGCGCCCCTATAGATCTTCACAAGGAAGGGAGTGGGAGTAGGAAGTCACCGGGGAGTGACAGCCGCCTTCTCAGGAACCTCATGCTAATGGTCCTGATGAGGAAGGGGACCCCTCACTACATGGAGGTCATGCAGGAGAAAACCAGAAAAGGGGGGTTTGGTGGGGTTTAGTTTTTTTTTTTTCAATTTCTTACAGCTCTGGGGATGAGAGAGCGCAGGGCTCGCAGGATCGTGCTCCCGACAACACGAGACACTGGGGACTTGAATGACTGTGAGCATGCAGGGCTGTCGGCCAGGGTTCTGGCCACTGTGCTATTCCTCCTCCAGGCCTGGAGTAGGGATAAAGGAAGAAGCAAAGCAGACCATAGAGCCCAGGAGGAGGGAAGGGCAGAGAGAGGGAAAGAGAGAGGAAAAGAGAGAGAAGGAAAGTGCCTGCCACGGAGCCATACCATGGAGGCAGGCTGGGGAAGGAGCGTGGCAGGAGGGAAACTGGGGTCACTGGGAGTGTGAAATGGACTCTGGTGGAAGGATGGGTGTTGGATCAGTGGATGACTGATACCTGATGATGAACAGCTCTGTAACTGTGTATGTCACCGTGACTGAATTCAAGAAAATAGAAATTTAAAAAAAGAAAAAGAAAAGGGTTAAGCAGGTGGGGATATTTGGGCCACCCTTGACAGTACTTGGAGGCTCTTCCCGTCGGGCTTAGGGAACCATGTGGTACCTGGGATTGGACTTGGGCCTTCTGCATGCAAGACGTGTGTCCAGCCTATTGAACCATCTCTGGCCCCCAGAAAAAAAAAAAGGAATTTGGGTTTTGTTTGTTTGTTAGGTTTTTGGGCCACATCCAGCAGGGCTTAGATTTTACTGCTTCTCTGAGCTTTGGGATCACTCCTTGCAGGACTCAGAGGACCACATGGGATGCCGGGGCTTGACCCGCACTGTCTGCATACAAGGCAACACTCCACCTGCTGTATTATCTTTTCGTTCCTGAAAACATAGTTTGTTTGTTTTTTTTTTTTCCCCTTTATTTTATTTTATTTTTTTTAAAGTTGTAGATTTACAATTTTTTGTGCTTTGGTTTCAATTATACAATGATCAGATACCCATCCCTCCACCAGTGCCCATTTTCCACCACCATGGATAATATCCCTCCCACCCCCATCCCCCCATCCCCCCTGTCTCTGTGGCAGGGCAATCCCCTGTGTTCTCTCTCTCCTTTTGGGTGTTGTGGTCTGCAAAAGAGGCATTGAGTGGCAAACTTGTTCAGTCCATAGTCTACTTTCGACATGCATCTCCCCTCCTGGGAGGATCCTCCAAACATCCTTTATTTGGTGCTCCCTTCTCTATCTGAACTGCCCTTTCCTCTAGGATACCTGGCTGGCCTCTAAGTTATGGAGTAATCCTCCTGGTGCTGATCTCAGCTATTCTTGGGTATTAATCTCATACTTTGTTACTTTATATCCCCCAGATGAATGCAATCTTTCTATGTCTATCCCTCTCTTTCTGACTCATTTCGCTTAGCATGATACTTTCCATATTGTACCACTTGTAGAAAACATAGTTTTTGACGTCAGCCATCCAGCAGCCTTTGGCTGAGCAACAGCAGACCCAACATTTCCTTTCTGATTCCATGGAAATGCAGGCACTCTGGCAAAAATCAGTTACCGTTATAAAGTCATCTTTCTCAGAAAGTTCAAGTATTCAAAACAATAAGGAAAACCAAGGAGCACTGTAGCACTGTCCTCCCGTTTGTTGTTCATCAATTTGCTCCAGCGGGCCCAGTAACGTCTCCATTGTGAGACTTGTTGTTACTGTGTTTGGCATATTGAATTTGTCACGGGTAGCTTGCCAGGCTTTGCCGTGCAGACAAGATACTTTTAGTAGCTTGCCAGGCACTCCGAGAGGGGCGGAAGAATCGAGCCCGGGTCGGCCAGGTCAGCCGCATGCAAGGCAAACGTCCTACCCGCCTACCCGCTGTGCTATCACTTGAGCCCAAGGAAAACCAAGTGGGGGGTGGGGGGGACATGTTGGCATGTCTATCTGATTTTAGCTTGATCTCTTTCTTGGCTTGGCACACATGTGCCTTCTATGTGACTGGAAGTCAAAGTTTTCTTCAGTTCACATCTATCCAGGATGTCTGAAAATCTAATTCTATTCCCCAACCAGGACACAGACTGGAAAAACACACCTGTGAGATTTGAATGGACACACCAGGACAGGAGAAAAACGTGGGCTCCTCTCCCTTTTTTGTGAAAGCGAAAGTTTGGAACTTTATCACAAAATTCAGGCAACTAGCCATGAGCAACTCTAGTTTCAATAAAACCACAAACGGAAAAAGGTTGGGCTACCACCTTCCCCACCCCACTTAACTGAGCAGCCAGAGCCAGCGGGCACCCTTCTTTCTAACTGCCTGGATCAAGCAGAAGCCTTTGTCCCACCCCTGATCCCTGCCTACCTCAGCTCCCCACAGCCAGTTCAGTGGAAGCTGGTCATCACCAAAACAAGCTTCAGGAATACCTTCCTCCACTCCAACTTAAAGCCTGTGTCAGAACAACTGCTAAGGACGTGATTTGGGGGATGAGAATTGGGTCAGGACCACTGGCACCTGCTGGTACCCACAGGGTTTCGAGAGCACTTAGGATCCTGGAGACTAAATTCCCGTATCCAAAGTCAACTACAAACCAGGACCATGGATTGTGCTCCTGTGTTGCTTAGAGCTGATGATCCCCTGGTCCGGGATATATTTACTCAATAAATATTGTTTGAGCAGTCACATGACCAGCACTGCGCTGAGGCACAGTAGGAGTTACAGCAGAATGAAAGTTGCGTGAAAGCCTTTGTCCAGCCCTTCTCTGCCCTTTGCTGAGCTAAGAGCAGGTGGCTCGGAACTGCAACATTCCAGCCACAGCCTCCCCTGACCCCCTAGGGAGAGACTGGCTTTGAGCCTTTGATCTCTGAATGTTTACTCTCAAAGAGACGCAGTGAGATGTGTTGGAGGCAAGGGTTGTAATGAGAAGTTCACAGTCTTGGAGATATGTTCTCCCTGCTGCTTCCAAGAAGGCCTAGAGGAAAGTGGGCTGCGGAGCTGGGCCCCTGCTGCCCAGACAGCATGTGGCGAGCAAGTGTCACCCAGCCATACTCACGGTTCGGTGTCTCTCTCCTTTCCCGTCCAAGTAAGCTCGGATGGTGGTCAGCCCAGCGTACTCCCCCTGGGCTCCACTGCAAAGACAAGAAGAGGAGGATCAAGCCTTGGCGACTCCACTTCCCTTTACTCATTCAATCTTCTTTGGACACAGGTCAAATGTTCACCAACACAAGGCACACAAAGTGGACAGAGAGGCACTAAGGGACTCAGATTTCATGTGGTCCCTTCCCCATCCATCTCAGGACTGGGGTTCCCAGCCCCCACGCACGTGGCTACGGGAGACTAGCCAGACCATCTGCACAGTCCTTGAAGGCACTGAGTTAGAGCACATTTAATGACTAACATTTCAATGAGTCCATCATAAGCCGTTATTGTTCTCAGTACTCCATGCACAAAGAAAAGGGAAGTGAGTAATAGATTGGAAAATCTCATTCAAAATGCGTGTGTTCTCCACTTTAACTAAATCGCACCATCCTCTGTGTGGGAGAACCAGTGGCATGAGCGCTCATCCATTCTCTCAATTTGAGGTGAGACTCTAAAAGCATGTGATGGGACTGGAGTGCTATGACTGTGGGTAGGGTGCTTGCCTTGCAAGCGGATGATCCGGGATCTATCCCTGGCATCCCATACAGTCCTCCAAGCCCTGACAGGAGTAAGTGCTGAGCACCACCAAGGAGTGTGCCCCCCCAAAAACAAACAAACAAACAAACAACAAAGAAAGATAATTTCCAGACTCTGGCACTACTGAGCAAGAGAAGAGGCTGCACAGGGTAAGTAATTAAGATGAATGGTTGGCCCAGTATATGTATCTGGCACTTTGTACGGGTAAAGGCAGTACATGTGGCCACTATAAGCATTTGATATCATCTTTGTGATCCTCCCAATACCTCCAGGGAGTAGATATCCTCACTGCCACTGCCTCCGCAACTCCTTTTTCACATGCCTGAAGGAGGAGTCTGGAGTCCTGGGGACCAACAATGAACAAGATAGCTGGCCACAAGCTGCTTCCCTTGTAAGTTTTGCCTCTTATGGACGGAAACTAATAGGACACACTAGGTGTTTGGACCTCAGATCTTCATCAACCACACTGACATAGCTTCTGACCCCTCTGCAATACTGCTGAGAAGGAGGCAAGTACAGTTCATGGAAAATCACTGACTCTCTAGTTTGTTCACTCTTAGGATGTAAGAGACCAAGACCCAGCACCTCACTAGAAATTTAAAGAAATAAACTCTAACAAGAGTACCTCTAGGATACAGAGCAAGTAAATTTGTTCAAAATGAAGTTCTGCTCCCTATCCCAGATAGTTAGCAGTAATGTGACTTTGGGACCAGAGAGACAGTACAGAGGGTAGGGCACTTGCCTTGCATGCTCAATTCCTGGCATCCGATATGGTCCCCCAAACCCACTAGGAGTGATTTCCGATTGCAAAAGCCAGAAATAGCCCGAGCACTGCCAGATGTGGCCCAGAAACAGAAAACAAAACCAAAATGTATCATATATTCCTTCTGTGTCTTCCTCAGGACTTTCATTCATGTTTTGTTGAAAGACCAATCAAGGTGTTTATAGACTAGGAATGAAAGAAGAAACTCTGAGCTTATGCGCCAGATATTCCAGAGAAAGGAGGTAGTATGTTAAAGACTTGGTCATAAATGCTGGTGGGTGTCATTATTTTACCTCAGATAGTCTTAAAATCGTATTTTAATAAGTGGGTCAGGGTTAGCAAAACAGATTCATAAGTCAAGAGCTCATGCTTTGCCTGCCAGAGTTCGATCCCTGACACAGCATGGTTGGGTGTGGCCCCAAGACAAAAGAAAAAAAAAAGAAACAAAATCCCACATATATTCAAAAAGTGCAAAAACTATGTTTTGAATACCACATAAGGCTTACTTCTGCAGTAATATTTAAATAAAGAGAATTGTTAGTGCCACCTATTGGTAGAAATGTATTATTATAAAATTATAAAATCACGGATTATTTGGAGAGAAAGCACCAGAAAATGAGAAAATGATCACATGTGGATAGGCATCTAGGATAATGGATGTGTGTTTGTGTGTGACTATATATATATATATATATATATATATATATATATATGGTTTGGGGGCATTGCTCAGGACTTACTCCTAACAGTACTCAAGGGACCATATAGGGTGCTGGCAATTCAGCCAAGGTTAGTGGCATGTAAGGGAAGCACCTTATCCCATGTATTATCTCTCCAGTCCTTATTTATTTTTTAATAATTTTATTACTCGAGCGGGCCCAGTAACGTCTCCATTGGAGACTTTGTTGTTACTGTGTTTGGCATATCAAATACGCCACGGGGAGCTTGCCAGGCCCTGCCATGCAGGCGAGATACTCTCGGTAGCTTGCCGGGCTCTCCGAGAGGGGCGGAGGAATCGAACTCGGGTTGGCCATGTTGGCTGCGTGCAAGGCAAATGCCCTACCGCTGTGCTATCGCTCATGTTAAGTACATGGCAGAGTCTGGCAAACTCCCCATGGCATACCCAATATGCCAAATACCAGTAACAATGATGGGTCTCATTCTCCTAAAGAGCCTTGAATATAATCTCAGGGCTAGGATGAAGGAGACGTTACTGGGGCCTGCTTGAGGCAATCGACGAATAACAGGATGATTTGTGATTTGTGATTTGTGATTACATGTTAAGTAATAAGGCCATAATAGTGTTAATGGTCATGGAATTGATATATAGCATTTCTGCATCTCCCCTGCCAAAGCACCCTCTGGTAGAAGGTCTGGGATACTTTGGTGGTGAGGGTGGTACAGTGACTTTGTGCACCAATAATACAAACAAACAAACAAACACTGTCCTCCCGTTGTTCATCGATTTGCTCGAGCGGGCCCAGTAACGTCTCCATTGTGAGGCTTCTTGTTACTGTGTTTGGCATACTGAATACTCTCAGTAGCTTGCCAGGCTCTAACACTGCTGTAACCACACACACCTTACTATTGAGGGAATCCCCCTTTTGTGAGTCGGGAGGGGACAAAATCCCCCTATCGATCAAAACAGCAAACATTCTTAATCACTGCCTGCCCATTAAGGATTTAGACATGGGGCCCAGATTTAGCTCACAGAGCACAGAGCAGGGAGGGAAGTGATTCTTGCCCTGTCAAGGTCTCAACTTGTACTCCCCCAGCAGCTTCCTTTGAGTCTAGCCCTGGAGCTCCTTTGCTCTGCTTTCCCACCAATTCTGGGCCACCAGTATCTTCTCCAGAAGTCCCCTTTGTGAAACCTTATAACCAGGTCACTTTCTCTTGCTTTCTACCAGGGTGTTAGGAGCCTCCACGACATTTTCTCATTTGCTGTCCCGTATCTGCGGGCAGGTCTAACAAAGAGAGTCACTGTGGTTCACTGGGAGATTCTCCTGCCTCTAAAATCAAAATCCTCTTGATTTACTGCACCCTTTGCGAGAGCTAGCCCTAAGAAAAGTGCTTCTCTAGATCTTACTTGCCTAATCTTTCACAAGGGAATACAGCACCTAATTTACTGATGAATTTTAAAAAGTGACTTTAGTGAGAAGGTGTGATGGGAAGGCACTTGCCTTGCATGTAGCCAGCCCCAGTTCAATCCCCAGCATAAAGCACAATTGCCAAAGCATTACAGGAGGGACCAGTAGTGAGCATAGAGCCAAAAGTAGGCCCTAAAATGGGGCAGATAGGGTCCCTGCCCTGCCAAAGGTCCAGTGCTTCACCCACCCATCCCCGCTCCTACTGCCAACTGCCCCAGTGTCAGGACTGATCTCAGAGGCCACAGAGACACCTGCAGTTGATTATCTTGGCTCCAAAGCCACTGAAGCATGTGTCTGTATATGTGGCTGTGCAACACCTCCAAATTACACAGAGCTGACAGTCCAGGAGAAAAAGAAAATTAGATGGAAAATTGAGTAGAAGTCCACTGAGCTCACTCAATGAGTGAAGGCCCAACTCTCACCTAACAGCTCGGTAAATCTTCAGGTCATGACATTAACAACCCCATTGTGAGATATATGTTGTAATTAGCAACTAAAGTAAATTAATTGGTGCCTGCTAAGGGAGCAGGCTTAGGGCATACATAGGAAACTGGTATATTGATGAGGGAAAGGCACATTGGTGATGAGACTGGTGGTAGAATGTTGAGTACCTGAAACAACTATTGTGAAAAACTTTGTAAAATACGGCATTTAAATGAAGTTAAAAAAATTTTTTTTGTGGAGTTCATGCCCAATTCAATCAGCTAATCAGTGGCTGAATAAATAGCAGTACTCCTACATTAAAAAAAAAATTTTTTTTAATAGGGCCTTGAAACTGGCCAACCTGGGTTGGATCCCCAGCATCCCATATGGTCCTCCATATCTATCAGGTCTGATACCTGAGAAAAGAGTCAGGAGTAAGTCCTGAGCATCACCATCTGTGACTCCAAAACCAAGTTAAAAAACAAACAACAAACAAGCAAAAGAACCAAAAAGGGCACTATGAAAGGTTGGGGAAAGTTTGAAAAACACTGAACTAAACCTCCTGCATTATTTTCTCAATGGCAAACTCCCTCCCCAAGCCAAGCTGCACAGGAAAATTCCCTGGAGGTCCAGAGTACCACACACAGATCCTGACTCAATCCTGGACCACCTGGTCGCCAAAGGACCACCAGGAGTGACTCCAAAAGCACTGAGTCAGAAGTAGGCCCTAAGCATCATTGGTTGTAGCCCAATAACCAAAACGCACGTGCAGACATGCACCCAAATCACCCAGGGAGATACTAACTGCCCTCAAGGACATTATGCAGCTTTACAAAAGGGCAAATACTCTCCCAAGTCTCCCCAGGAATTCTAACATGCAGCAAGAACTGAGAACCTCTTGCACTGCACCCCTGCTGTCTTCATAGTATGGGAGACAAACCAACAAATTAACATCACAGTGAAAACGTGTTAGTTAAGCCAGCTCCCAGGCCCCAAATCATGTTTACTGAGAACCTCTTGGAAGCAGGGATTCAATAAGCCCCACCCATGAGTTTCAAAGGCACAATAAACTTGAATAACCAATGATCATGCCTTGCTCACACCGTTCTTTAAGAATCTTCCCAGGGGCTGGAACGATAGCACTGCAGGTAAGGCATTTGCTGACCGGGGTTTGATTCCCAGCATCCCATATGGTCCCCTGAGCACCGCCAGGAGTAATTCCTGAGTGCATGAGCCAGGAGTAACCCCCGTGCATCGCCTGGTGTGATGCAAACCCCCCACCCCCCCCCAAAAAAAAAAGAAAAAGAAAAAAAAAACCAATCTTTCCAGGAGATTCTGTCAGTTTTATTTACATTTGGGATCACAGCAGTTTTTAAAGGCAAAAACAACATCCACTACTCTTACAAAACAAATGAACTAATAATTACAACTTATCTTTCATTTGGATACCCATGGAAGATGTTAATTACTGTTTCTATCTGTTTAAACTTTACATCATGATTCTAACTCAGTTGTTCTGAGATGGGATTTGTGATTGGCTGACTGATTTTAAGAGAATGACAGTGTCATGGGGTACAAGTCCAAACAAGCCATGCTGGACACAGCAGGAAACCGAAAGGCAATTACATCCTACTTGGCTGATTTCTCTACCAAGCTGAAAATGCCTCCCATGTTTGTAAAATGAACATATAAATAGAAGGCATGGTGACAAGCTGCTTGTTTCAAGTACTTGATTTTTGTAAACTTGTTTGTGGTGCTGGGGATAGAACCCACACTCTACTTCTAACCCACAGTCAACTCTTTTAAGTCTTTGAAACAATGTTGGGACCCACATTATAGACCCACAAAGGGGTGTAATCCCTGGGAAGCACAAGAAGTTAAAACATTTTTAAATGTGCAAGCGAGCACTAGGGCCAGAATGTGCTGCCCCTGAGAGCACGTCTGAGCGTTGCAGGGACCCCTAGGTGCAAGCAGAATGCTTGGCTTCAGCTAGCGTGCCCCTGGGAAGCTGTGTGCAAGTATCAGGCTTAACACGGATTTGCAAGTCTCAGTAAGCAGGAGCACTGCAGCCAGAGAGGCACCCCGCAAGCCCCACAGCTGTATGTGGGACCACAGCCAGGTATATATGCAGTCCCTCGTCAGAAGGAAAAACTTCAATAGAAAGTTTACCATGGTGACGTGCGATGGGGGGAGGACGTACTAGGACAATGGTGGAGGGAAAAGGACACTGGGTGCTGGAGTGTTTTGTGCATGAAACCCTATCATTGGAAGGGACAGATGTTGGAACATTATATGACTGAAACCCAATCATGAACAAGTTTGTAACTGTGTATATATCATGGTGATTCAATTTTTAAAAATTAGGGGAAAAAAAACCCCTACCATTGTAAAGCATGCTGCCTAACATAATTAATTTAAAAAAAGATTCTTGAATGGCCAAAAGGCACACGCAAAAAATGCTCTTCATCACTAATCATCAGGGAGATGCAGATCAAAACAACAGGGAGATACCATCTCACACCACAGAGACTGGAACACTTCCAAAAGAACAAAGGCAACCAGTGGATGTGGGGAGAAAGGGACTTTCCTTCATTGCTGGTGGGAATGCCAACTGGTCCAACCTTTTTGGAAAACAAAATGGACATTCCTCAAAAAACTAGAAATTGAGCTCCCTTTTGACATAGCAATGCCATTTCTGGAAATATTACGTGGGGACCCGAACACACACAGCAGAAACACCATCTGCACTCCTTTGTTCACTGCAGCACTATTCACAATAGCCAGAATCTGGAAACAACCTGAGTGCCCAAGAACAGATGAATGGATAAAGAAACTACGGCACATCTACACAGTGGAATACTACACCGCTATTAGGAAAAAATGAAGTCATGAAATTTTCCTAAAAATGGACGGACGTGGAAAGTATCACGCTGAGTGAAATGAGTCAGAAGGAGAGGAACAGATATAGAATGACTGCATTCATTTGTGATATATAAAAAATACATAGTAGTGAACTATCTATGACCAGGAAAACAGGCTAGAAGGACTGGTCAGTGGTTGAAATCTACAACAAGTATGTGTGTGGGGCTGAGGGTAGGTAAGATGGTAAGATAAAGAAGAGACCAGTAGGGCAATAACAGCTGGGAATGATAAGAACTGAGTGTTAAAAGTAGGTAAAGGGATATTTTTGATAATGTTTCAGTATCAATATTGCAAACTACAATGCCCAAAAGGAAATAGAGAGAGAGGTAGAGAGGGAGAGGGAAAGCGAGAGAGAGAGAGAGAAAGAGAGAGAGAGAGAGAGAGAGAGAGAAAGGAGGGAATCTGGGGACACCAATGCTGGGAAATGTACACTGGTGGAGGGATGGGTTTTGGAATACTGTATGACTGAAATTTAATCATGAACAGCTTTGAAAGAGTCAGTGATTCAATTTAAAAAAAAGTAACATATAGGGGCTGGAGTGATAGCACAGAGGGTAGGGTGTTTGCCTTGCATGCAGCCGACCCAGGTTTGATTCTCAGCATCCCATTTGGTCCTCCGAGCACCACCAGGAGCAATTCCTGAGTGCATGAGCCAGGAGTAACCCCTGTGCATCTGTGCATCGCCGGGTGTGACCCAAAAAGAAAAAAAAAAAAAGTAACATAAAAAAAAAAAACACCAAAATTTTAACAGTGAATGGGAGTAGAAAGGAAAAGAGAAAAAAGTATAAAAGAATTAGATTAAGAGTTGTGGAGACATAGTACAGCAAGTAAAGCACTTGCCTTGCATGCAGCTGACGTGAGTTCAAATATTGGGCACCACATATGGTTTCCTCCCCCCGCCCCAAGCACTGCCAGGAGAGATTCCTGAGCACAGAGGAGTAAGTCCTGAGCCCAGCCAGGTATGGACCTAAAACCAAATCCCCAAACATGAATTAGACATAGAGGGGTGGAGAGAATGCTTGAGTGCATGCTTTAGCATGCAGGAAGCCTAGATTTGATCCCTAGCACTGCATGGTCCCCCAAACTCTGGAAAGAATAATCCCTGAGCACAGAGTCAGGAGTAGTCCCTGAACTCTACTTGATGAGGTGTCCTCCAGACAAAACTTGGTGTTTTCACACTGGGTTTTTCAAGTTCATGATGATGCAACAGTGAAAGACATTCAGTAGAAACTATTTTGAATTTGAACATCCTGTTTCTTTGTTTTGCTTTTGTTTGGGGGCGACTCCTGGTGGTTCTCAGGGGTTACTCTGACACAAATCACTCTGGCAGGGTCAGGGGACCATTTGGGATGCCAGGTTCGAACCCTGGTGGGCTGCATGCAAGGCAAGCATCTTACCCTCTGTACTATCACTCCAGCTTCTAAATGTTCTGGTTTTCACTTTCAGCGGAAAAATCACTGATAGTTTACAAAGGTGATTCACAATGAACCACAATTCTCAACATCTACACTCAGTCAGGGCTGAGTACAACTTTTGGTAGCAGATAGGATGTCCTTGAAATAATATTGTAAAACAAAATAAGAGATTTGCATCTTCTACATACATCCTTCCATCTCAGAATGTTCCATTTTGAACATAGGCATCACGGTACAAGGATACTCAACCAACCACAAGGGGAAATCCACAGAAGAACCAAGCCCCTGATCAAAAACTTCAACTGCAGTGTGGGCACCAGTACATCAATGACTCTCCAGTGAGGAGAATGAAGCCATGGGGAACTGCCACTCAACTCTCTGAATGATGTGATATTACTGCATCAAGTCTCTAAAATTTGGAGCAAGTGTTATACAATAGATAACTGAACCAAAGAGAAGAAATTGCCTTACCTGTTTGGTTGGAAAGAGAATCGGTCATAGCCTGTAAGTTCACACAAATCCTTCTCAAGCTCTCGGAAAAGCTGCTGGTACCCTTGAGCCTGGTCCAGAGGCACAAATGGGTGGATGTTTGCAAATGCATCCCATGTGATTGGCTGAAAATCAAGGGGGAGGAAGTAGATGTGATTATAACAGTGACAACAAAAACAATGCAATGACGGTGTTGATACCACTAGTTAGTTCATAGTGTTTTCTACGTCCCAATACTGGTCTAAACTTAATGTAATATATAAATAAGCATAATAATCTATTTAAATCTCAACATAGTGCTGGAGAGATGGCTAAAGAGTGTGGAGAATATTCTTGCATGCAGGAAGCCCTGGTTAGATCCCTTACACCACATGGTCCCTGGAACACCATTGGGAGCAACCCAGAGCACTGAGCCATGAGGTCCCCTAAGCACCAGTACGTGTGACTGACAAAGAAATGCAGTCTTATCAGAAGTGTTTCTTTGGCCTTCAGTTTACAAGTGGGTCCAGAGATAAAGAAAAAGTACATAAAAATCTTTTTTAGAAATGCTGGATAGAGACTACAGAAATGGCCTAACAAGTGGCTACAGTTGTGGCAATGGTTTCATCCTAGCACCGCATATGGTCCCCCCAGCACTGACAGGAGTGACCCCTGAACATAGAGCCAGGTGTGGCCCCTGAGCACTGCCAGATGTGGCCCCCAAATTTTTTAAAAATAGGGGCCAGGAGAATGCTCCAGGTCCCAAACAAAGCCGAGATCACCAGGAAGTCCCAGATGGGGTAGGTGCCACATTCCACCTTCTCCAGATGGAACCCCGGTGACCATGAGCCTCTACAAGCATAGCTCGGGTATGCGGGAACCAGAACTTCTATTCCAAACAGCCAGGACTGCCCCGGCTCCCAGGTAACCTCTGATTCTGGAAGTCACGCCCACAACCCTCCCCCCCAGCGCCATCTTTACAGCACACAGCAACAAAGAAGAAAAACCGCTGGGAGGCTCCACAGCTCCCAGAGAATGCTCCAGGTCCCAAACAAAGCCAAGATCACCGGGAAGTCCCAGATGGGGTAGATGCCGCATCCCGCCTTCTCCAGATGGAACCCCGGTGACCATGAGCCTCTACAAACATAGCTCGGGCATGCGGGAACCAGGACTTTTATTCCAAACCAACATCTCCTTATATACAAAGTGATCAATGGAAAGTAAATCATCCAACGTTTCTCCCTGAAAATCAGGCTTAACTCTTTTACAAACCACAACACCCAATAGGAGAGAGAACAAAGGGGAATGTCCTGCCACAGAGGCAGGGTGGGATGAGGGGGGTGGGAGGGATACTGGGATCCATGGTGGTGGGAAATGGTCACTGGTGGAGGGATGGGTATTCAAAATGAATAAATAAATAAATTTTTTAAAAATTGGGGCCAGAGTACAGCAGGTAGGGCATTGGCCTTGCACACAGCCAATCTAGGATTGTTTCCCGGCATCCCATATGGTGCCCTGAGTACTGGAAAAAGTAAGTCCTGAGTACAGACCCAGAAGAAAGCCCTGAGCGTTGTTGAGCATAGCCCCCCAAACAAACAAAATTTTTTTTAAAAAAATAGATAAAATTTTAAAATATTTTCAGGAACAAAAAGGCAGAAAACTTGATTTATATCACGAGACTCAAAGAATCAATCTGGCTTCCTCATATTCTCATACAATACTTCTGTCATTCTTTCTAATTAGCTGAATAAGACTCCAACAAAAATTGCTGAAAATGTAAGATTATTTTCTTTCCTGAAGTGGTTTTCCACTTAAGAATAAACTCAAAGGCAGGAGTGATAGAACCGTGGATAGGATATTTGCCCTACATGCAGAAAACCTGGCGGTCAAATTTGGCTTTTCACATGATCCCCTGAGCCCTGCTAGGAGGAATCCGAGTGCACAGCCAGGAGTAAGCCCTGAGCACCATCAGCTGGGACCAAAAATAAATTAAAACCAAAATTAAATAAACCCAAGAGAATAAAAGAAAAATATAACTTTGCTAAATTGATTCCTACACTAGTAGAATTATCAATCCACAAGAGCAAGTTACACAAATCTACTGCTACCAGAAACAAATTAAGACCTAAAATCTCTACCCTTCTGGCATTATGAATAAATAGATGACTAGAAAGGAAATTTAAGGTTCTTAATTCTGAGTAAACAATTAGAAGTTTATTAAAGTAAATCCTTTCAGAACAGCAGGCTTGAGCCCCTGTACCCCCTGTTCTTTGGTGCTATGGATAGGTCAAGGGTCAGAGATGTTTGCAACGCTGTGGCACTGGCAGTCATCAGACAGGTGGACTGCTGCTGGGGAGTCAGTAAGTGGGGACTGGCTGCTAGGGAACCCTGAGCCCAGGCCTCTCTCCAGCACTGAGCCACATCACTGGGTACCAATATGGCAGGTTTGGAAAATGGTGTGAGGGAGAGAATGAAAATAAAAAGACCAAATACCAGTAGTATTCAGGTGACTCTAGGGCTTCTGCCAGCAACTTTCATAGATTTAAACAATTCAGTTGTTATTATTAAAACTTTCTCTTGGGGCTGGAGTGATAGCACAGCGGGTAGGGCGTTTGCCTTGCATGCGGCCAACCTGGGCTCGATTCCCAGCATCCCATATGGTCCCCCGAGCACCGCCAGGAGTAATTCCTGAATGCATGAGCCAGGAGGAACCCCTGTGCATCGCTGGGTGTGACCCAAAAAGCATAAAAAAAAAAAAAAAACCTTTCTCTTAGGGTGGGAGGACATTGCTGGTGGGAAATATACCCTGGTGAAGGACAGGTGTAGGAACACCGGATAACTGAAACCAGTCGTGAACAACCTTGTATCTGTGTGTTTCACAGTGATTCAAAAAATTTTTTAAAGAATCTCTTAAATTTATCAAAGTAAGCAATTATTAAAGTAGTCATGAAATCAGGGTCCAGAGGTAAGGGGTATGGCGCTTGCTTTGCATGTGGCCCATGACTGAGACAGCTCAATCCCTGGTATCACATATGATCCCTGAGCACCACCAGTGGTCTTTCCTGAGCAGACCCAGCCCCTGAGGACAGAAAGGTGTGTCCCAACCCACACTCCCCAACCCCCCACCACACATACACACAATTTTAAGAAGTAAAAAAAAAAAATGAACAGCCAATATATAGTCCCAGAAGCTTTCTCTAGTTACCTGCTTGAATCTATAAGCTAGAATACTGTCCCTACTAAGTTCTATCTTCATAGAAGTGAATACTCACTGCGAGTTCAGATGAACTGTTGAGTTTCATGGTGCAGGACCCCTTTAAGAAACACATCGAAAATGAAACGTGTTAATGATTTTAGTTTCTGTGGTCCATCTCTCAGCCCTCCAGTGTGTCTAAATGGTCACCCACTTCCCTCCTGCAGTCTGTTAGAGATTACTCAAAGAGGGTGCACCAGAATGGGGTTAGAAGTAGAGGCAAGGGGGAAAACCAATCATTACCAGTGGAATCATGCTGTGAACAAGGGAAATGTCTTTGTTTTCCAGTTTCTTCATATATCGAACTATATTTGTTTCCGAGTGATAGCTGTGAACATAAAGCATCACTACTGATTAGGACTAACAAAACAGCAAGGGCTCAGCATACCCTCCTGAACCACACTAATCCATACTTGAGATTCACTTCAAGCAGACAAATGGGGCCATGGGCAATATGTCAACAAGGCACTTGAGGGAGAGTCTGAAATCCCCTTGAACCTCAGGAGGCATAAGGGTAATATCTGCCTGTGAGCACAAGAGGAAGGCCGGGAAGAAGAGCTTGTTGAGTTTCTATGAACTTCAGCCTGATAGTTACGCATCCAAATTCTGTCAAGGGGAAAGTGCTGTCAGGAAATAAGGTGTGATCTGCCCAGGTCAAGACTGAAATCTCTACCATGCCAAGCCACAGCACTAAACGCACAGTCACACAAGCCATCCAAACCTGTTGAATACTTGATGTGTGAGGAATGGGCTGGTCCTCTTGAAGGCAGTCCCTGGAATCCCTCTCTGCTCCTCACCCATGCTTTCAGCTACCAGCTCCTGATGGAGAGGACACAGAAATGAAAGGGCAGGAATCGTGTCTAAACCCACCTGCAGATTGAGGCATCTGCTCAGGGTGCATTCTGTCAAAGCCCTATATACATACATGCATACATACATACATACATACATACACACTTCTCTGATAGCATTTGTTATTTTGTAATGAAGTTCAGTGTCAACATGAACAGATAAGCAAGACACCAGGACCAAGCTGCTCAGGACTCTGAAAGCTATTTCTACGTCTATAGGAAATGTTTCCTTCCACTCATTAATTCTAAAACCACTTATCCAGCACCACATCATGGAGAGCATGGTGGTTAACACCATGACATAGGTCTAGGAACCATTCTCTCTTCACTTTCATTCCAAGGAATCAAAACATTTACCCGCAAGTCCTTGTTATTTCATTGTTTTGCAACCATCTAAGTTACAAAGAACTACTTCAGCTCTCAGATAGCATCTCTGCTGCTGGTCTTGGTAGATGCTTTTCCGGTATGTAACACCTCTGGCCCCACCCTCCTCAGTTTAGAGCAGAGCTTCTTGAAATTCTTTCATTCACGACCACTTTGACACAAGAAATTATTAGCAACCCTGGGTTTACATTCTTTTGAAATACGCATACCATCATTTTCATAGAATCTACGTAACTAAGAGAACAATGCCAGTAGGGAGAACTTCTGTTAAACACCAGTTGTATGTGCTGGACATAGTACAGCAGGCAGGCACACAGCTGACCTGGGTCCAATTCTAAGCACCCCACACGATTCCCTGAGTACTGCCAGGAATGATCCCTGAGCGTAGAGCAAGAAATAAGTCCTGAGCACACCAGGTATCGGTCCCCAACCCCTATGTGGTCCAGAATCCTCAGCAGTGACTTCCAGCTTTATCAGCTGTCACAGGGATGATCAGTGGCAGAATTTTGACAACCAACGAATTTTGACAACAAGATACCCAACGTCAAGCTCCTTCTCTCTCCCTCACACTCAGACCCACAAGAGATAAAGCCATCTTTAATACCAGTTTCAATAATTATGATGAAAAGTGCAAAATTTTTTGTTTACTTACTGCAGATGACTCACAGCCAAAGATCCACAACAAATCATCCAGATCTTTCTCATTGACTGTTTCATCAAGAGAAATACCAAGCTACAGAGACATAAATGAAAGAGAAGCCATCAGCTCTAAATTCTAAACCAATAAGGCTGGAGAGACAGCACAGCGGGTAGGGCATTTGACTTGCATGCGGACTACCCAGGTTCGATTCCCAGCATCCCATGTGGTTCCCTGAGCACCGCCAGGAGTAATTCCTGAGTGCAGAGCCAGGAGTGACCCCTGTGCATTGCCAGGTGTGACCCAAAAAGCAAAATGAATAAATAAATAAATTCTAAACCAATAGAAAAACCCTGAGAAGAGAAAGAACTGAAGAAAACTACCACCCCTTCTAAAGTACTAGAGAACCAGCACCCCATATAGTCCCTTGCCTCCTCCCACCCCAAGCCCTGAACTCTGAGCCAGGAATAAACCCTGAGCACCACCAGATGTGACTTCCCATAGCAAACAAACAAAATGAATAAATTTGTATTTATTTGAAATAGTCATGATGTTGTAAATCAGAAATTGTTAAGAAAAAAATTATTAGATAGTCCCAAGTGCCAATATTCTTATTTTAAACCACTAAGAAAGCATGATATATATATATATATAGATATATATAGATATATCTATATATATAGAATTTGTGGTGGAGAAGGACAAAGGAAAGATGAACTTACTGTGCCATCCTCAAAATGCCGAAAATTGATTTGGCGCTGGGCAGCCCTTCCCAAGACCTCCTTCACAGGGCAGCCGCACTGAACCTTCAGTGTGTCGAAGAACAAGTCATGCTGGAGCTGGTGGCCAGCCCGTTTAAGACCTGGACAAGACACACAGTCACTGTCAGCATGGGAGCCTCCAGGTCTGATGGAGCCAAGAAATGAAGGCCTCTAAATCTGACTTCAGTTTGTTCCTGGCCCAACCCAGGGTTTGGGTGTTTTATTTTATTTTATTTTATTTTATTTTATTACATTATGGGCTGGAGCAATAGCACAGCAGGTAAGTGTTGGCCTTGCATGCGGCCAACCCAGGTTCAATTCCTCCAACCCTCTCGGAGAGCCCAGCAAGCTACCGGGAGTATTCCACCTGCATGGATACTCTCCATGGCAAGCTCCCCATGGCATATTCGATATGCCAAAAACAGTAACAACAAGTCTCACAATGGAGACATTACTGGTGCCCACTCAAGCAAATCGATGAACAACGAGAGGAAAGTGCTACAATGCATTACATTAATTACTTTGGACCACAACAGGCAGCAGTCAGGTGTCTCCTCTGGCACAACTTAAGGATGGAAAACTGGATCTCCTGTGTGCCCAGCATGTGTGCCAGTTCTTTCTCTCTCGCAGACCCCCTGCGTGGTTGCCTTAAAAAAAAAAAGTCAGGAGGCTGGAGAGATAGCACAGCGGGTAGGGAGTTTGCCTTGCATGAGGCCGACCCGGGTTCGATTCCCATCATCCCATATGGTCCCCTGAGCACCACCAGGAGTAACTCCTGAGTGCAAAGCCAGGAGTGTGACCCATAAAGAAAAAAAAAAAAAGTCAAAGATTTAGGGGGACGGAACAATTATGCTTGCCTTGAATGCGGCCAATCCAGGTTTGATCCCCAGCATCCCATGTTCCCTTGAGCCCCACCAGGAGAAATTCCTAAGTGCAGAACTAGGACTAAACCCTGAACATAAATGGGTGTGACCCCCAAACAAACAATGACAGAAAAGTAAATGTTAGGGGACCACAGAGATAGTATTTGGGTAGATTTTCCTTGAATGTGCCTCACCTGGGTTTGATCATGGTATTCTATATGGTCCCCTGAGCAGTGACAGGAGTGATCCCTGAGCACAGAGCCAGGAGTAAGCCCTGAGCACCACTCACCATGCAGAAATACTGGCTAGCTACATTTAGGTGTATATTTCTCCACAAGAGGCATATATGTGTGTGTTTAATCACATATATCTCCGAGAGTATCACAAGCAGTGTGCTAAAGAGGTCATAAGCCACTCCATAAATGCTCAGGGAACTTCATAATGCCAAGAATCAAACTTGGGATCTTTGCATGCCAGTGCTTTTTAAACAGCAGTTATCATGATCATCCTATAATAAACCTTTTACAGATTTATACTGATATTGTAATGGCTCTATAATGAAAACATTGGATATCCTGTATTTAACAAGTCACTTTCAAGGTTGTACTATTATGACTATTTCAATGGACACTCATGAATTAAATGTATTCCTAATACTAAAAATTCTTTATCAAACTTTAGGCACATTGCAAAAACTGAGATATGTCTGGTGACAGTAGGCCCAGAACCAGCTGAGTGTGACCCCAAAACAAGCAAAGAATAAACAAAAGAGCCAAAGAGATAGGATAAGGGTCAGGGTGCTTGCCTTGCATACAGCCAACCTGGTTAGATTCCTGGCACCACAAATGGTTCCCTGAGCCCACCAGGAGTGATTCCTGATCACAGAGCCAGGAGTAAGCTCAAAACTCCCAAATAAAAATCATACTGATATTACACATAAAATCTTTTTTTCTCAATATAATGGGAAAATACTATCTTACTGTTTTAATTAATATTTCTTGCTTCCTGCTCCAAATAAAAATTCCCATGTTTAAGCCATCTCTTTGTACATTTCCTTTAAACCTATATTTAGGGGACTGGAGTGATAGCACAGCGGGCAGGGCGTTTGCCTTGCATGCAGCCAACCCGAGTTCAAATCCCAGCATCCTATATGGTCCCCTGAGCACTGCCAGGAGTAATTCCTGAGTACAGAGCCAGGAGAAACCCCTAAGCATCGCCAGTTGTGACCCACAAAGCAAAAAAAAAAAAAACCAAAAAAAGCTATATTTAGGGGATCTGGAGATACAGGTCTTAAGGTGTTTGCCTTACATGTGGCAAAACTCAGTACAATTCCCAATATTGCATATGGACCCTACACTTTGCCAGGAATAGTCTGAGCACTGTCAGGTGTGGCCCAAACCACCCTTTCCAAATTACATTTAGGGTAATTTCCTATCTGTGGTGACCTGCATCTAAAATTTGGATATGTACTTCCTTTCTTTTATTTTATGGGGTACCTTGACTCCTTACCTGTAAGGATGCCCACTGTTCCCTATTGAATGAATTACTTTATCTATATCTCTCCCTCTTCATATTCTTTAAACAAAACTATGTTAGGGGCTGGAGAGATAGTACAGTGCGTAGGGGTGCTTGCCTTGTATGTGGCCAATCCAGATTCGATCCCTAGCATCCCAATGGTTACCCCCACGCCCCACCAGTAGTGGTTCCTAAGCAGAGAGACAGGAATAAATCCTGAGCACTGCTGGGTATGGCCCTGAAACAAAACAAAAATCAAAGAAACCAAAAAAAAAAAACTATTTTCTTTCAATAAATAAATAAAATTACATGTAAGGGACTGGGAAGCTTGCTTAATGGTAAAACACTTGCTTTATATGTCTGATGCCCTGAGTTTTATTCCAGGCACATTCCTCCCACAATTAAGTACATAAATGAAATAAAATCTTCCCCCTTGCTCCAGGAGTATGTGGGGTTACTCAGCTGTGCTCCTAGCTCTTATCAGGAATCACTCCTGGAAGTGCTTGGGGAACCATATGCGGTGCTAGAGATTAAACCCAAATTATATTCATGCAAGGCAAGCAACTGATAGGCTGTACTATCTTTTGTACTAAAAGTACTAAAGATATTTTAACTTATATTACTTTATGGAGTGCCTTATATTACTTTACTCCTTACCTGTAGGGAAGTCCACTGTTCCCTATTGAATGAATTACTTTATATCTGTCCCTCCTCATATTCTCTAAGCAAAACTATTTAGGGGCTGGAGAGATAGTACAGTGGGTAGGGGTGCTTGCCTTGTATGTGGCCAACCCAGGTTGGATCCCTAGCATCCCATATGGAATATCACAGCGGGTAGGGTGTTTGCCTTGCATGTGGCTGACCCGAGCACTGCCAGTAGTGATCCTGAGTGCAAAGCCAGGAGTAACACCTGAGCATCGCCAGGTGTGACCCAAAAAGCAAAAAAAAAAAAAAAAAAAAACCACTCAGCTATAATAGATGTTGAAAATAGTTTCCCTAGCTTATTTTACTTTTAATATTGTATATAGTATTGGATGAAAATGAAAATCTAGTCTGCTTTTAATTTTATTTAGACTTAACAATTTTTTAAAATTTCATTTTGTGGGGCTGGAACAATAGCACAGTGGGTAGGGCGCTTGCCTTGCACAAGGCAGACCCAGGTTCAATTCCCAGCATCCCATATGGTCCCCCGAGCACCACCAGGAGATATTCCTGAGTGCATGAACCAGGAGTAACTCCTGTGCATCACTGGATGTGACCCAAAAAAGCAAAAAAAAAAAATTCATTTTGTTTTTGGGTTAGAGCGATAGTACATTGGGTAGGGAATTTGTCTTGCATGTGTCAAATCCAGGTTTGAAACTCAATATCGTCCCCTGAGCATCTCTGGGAGTGATTCCTGAGCACAAAACCCTGACCACCATCCACCTTGGGCCAAAAACAAACAGACAAAATTTAGTTTTGTTATGTACTGGGCCACACCCAGCAGAGCTCAGGGGCTACTCCTAACACAGTGCTCAGGGATCACCCTCAGCAGTATTTGAAGAATCGTGGTTCCAGAAATAAAACCCATGCGGCCAGCATGCAAAGTATGCACTCCAGCCCTTTGAGCTATCTCCCCAACCCGAAACAATCAATCTTATTCTGCCCAATTTTAAACTTACCTTCAGACAAAATCAAAGTGGCATTATGAACCCTTCTGGCAATGTGCTTCAGCCCACAGGAACCGTGGTAGATGGCAAACATGGCAGCCATATTCGCCAGGAGAGCCTAATAGGTCAAAGGGTATTTAAAGGATCACTCGCAAAAGTGTGACAAAAGACAAATTAATGAAAAGGAAAGTTCCTTAAGTGAGACAGGAACAAAGAAACAAAAGATCAGACAGCCTATATTCTCTAAGTGAGTTGGGAACAATCAAAGCCTGCCTGAAGACAAAAACAACCAGCTGGAGGGCCCATGAAGAAAAGTGCTTCTAAAATACTCTGAATCTTCAAATTTGAACACCTTGGGGCCTGAGCAGTAGTACAGTGGCATCCCACATGGTTTCCCTCAATCCACACCAGTAGTGATGCCTAAACACAGAGACAGGAATAAATTCTGAGCACTGCTGGGTATGGCCCCCAAACATAACGAAAACCAAACCAAAAAACTATTTTAATTCAACAAATAAATAAAATTACATGTAAGTGACTGGGAACCTTGCTTAGTGTACAACACTTGCTTTGTATGTCTGATACCCTAAGCTTAATTCCAGGACATCTTTTATGACATCTTATCATCTCATTCCTACTTTGGACAAACTTGCAGGCTATCGAATGTAGCCTGCCCACAGGGCAGAGTCTGGCAAACTCCCCGTGGCGTACCAAATATGCCAAATACCAGTAACAATGATGGGTCTCATTCTCCTAAAGAGCCTTGAATATAATCTCAGGGTTAGGATGAAAGAGACGTTACTGGGGCCTGCTCGAGGCAATCGACGAATAAATTCCAGGCCCACTCTTCCAACAATTAGGTACATAAATGAAATAAAATCTTCCCTGTCCCCTCTGCATCTTCAAATTTGAATACCTTAGGACCTGAGCAATAGTATAGTGGGGAGAGTCTTTGCCTTGCATGCAGCCAACCTGGGTTCAATCCCCAGCATCTCATATGGTCCCCTGAGCACTGCCCGGAGTAATTCCTGAGTGCAGAGCCAGGAGTAGCCCCTGAACGTCTCTGGGTGAGGTCCAAAAAGTCAGAAAGCCCCCCCAAAAACATTTTTTGAACACCTCCTGAACATTGAACTAATGCTTCAAGTTTGACCACCATAAGAATTTCTCTCCATGCCACATAAATAAGTCACAAAAGGAAGTTCAGAGAGAGACCAAGAAAATTCCCCAACCTTTTAAATAAACTAATCATGACACTTAAATACTCAAAAGCTAATGATCAGCCTTTTTTCCTCCAGAGAAGTCCATGTTCTCTGCTGAACACATCTCTCTCTCTTTTTCCATCTCCTTTTTCTCAAAAGTTTAGTATGCATACTTTCACTAGGGACTGAACAAATGAGTGAACTGATCTCTGGGTTTAAGGCCATCAGAAGGTGCAGTGTGGTCTACCTGAGCTGTGCAGATGTTGCTGGTAGCCTTATCTCTCCGAATATGTTGTTCCCTGGTTTGAAGAGCGAGGCGATAAACTTCCTTCCCTGTGGCATCTCTGGGCCAAAGAGAAAATACCAATTAGTCCAGATATTCACAGTACCAAGAGTTGTCATAGTGTGACCTGTTTCACTGCTGTCCCCCGGAAGTGATTTGATCAAATGTACTTGGGTACAAAGCCAAAAATAAATGGTCCTCTTTGAAATAAGGACTACTAATTTTTAGTTCATGCTTTATAAACTTGAGACCTGAAGAGATATACTTTACAAGGCTAGGAACCCTGAAAGGAAAAATTTCAGGAATTATCTAGTCTGCTGTATGATGGTGATCAAAAATCAGTTTTTAGGGCCGGAGCAATAGTACAGTGAGTTTGTATTTGCCCTGCATTCGGTCGACCCAGGTTTGATCCCTGGTATCCTACATGGTCCCCCAAGCAGCACCAGTAGTGATTCCTGAGTGCAGAGACAGAACTCCTGAGTATTGCCGAATGTGAGTCAAAAAGAGAAAGAAAGAAAGAAAGAAAGAAAGAAAGAAAGAAAGAAAGAAAGAAAGAAAGAAAGAAAGAAAGAAAGGGAAAAGGAATAAAATCAGGTTTTGTTTGTGTTTGTTTTGGGGCCAAACCTAGCAGTGCTCAGGGCTTACTCCTAGCTCTATACTCAGATTCCCGGCAGTATTTGGGGGACCATATGGGATGCTGGGGATTGAACCTTAGTCAGTTACATGCAAGGCAAGTGCTTTACCTGCTGTACTATCTCTGGCACCCTTGATCTAAAATTTGAATCAACGAGAAGCACTCGAAGTACAACTGGAAATCATGCAAACAGCTATGGTTTAGGTCTCTGGGAAACGGTACACCACATTCAATATGTTCAGGGAATCTCTCAGAGTGCTAGTTTTCCTACAGCTGTGTGGCATGATAAACTGTTTTTGAGGAAAAGAAACCGAGGTAGACATAAAACACACACCAAAAGCAGTTTAGCTTTTTTGCCTTTCATGAGCCTAAATAAGTTCACTTATGTGACTCCAATGTAAACACACTGTCAGTTATATACACGTATTTCCAAATGCATATAAATTTACAGGGTCCATACACCAAACAGAATCTTTAGACTTCTTTAGAATCTATGTTGGGCACTTCCTTAACCCCCTAACATGGCCCAGTTAAATCCCAGCAGCTATCAACAAAATCTGTATCAGAGAAGCAACTGGAAAAGCCACACCCACAGTCAAAGGGGAGAACTATTAGCTGTTTTACCTCGTCACTCCCACCATCCTTCCAGGCATCATCCTCACTAAGTTTTCTCTGACAGCGAAAAAGGCTGCATGTGGTCCCCCGTAGCCCAGAGGCACTCCAAATCTCTGTGCGCTGCCCAGGGCGATGTCTACACCAAATTCTCCAGGAGGTCTCAAGATACACAAAGCTAGCAGGTCAGTAGCACAGCAGACCAGGCTCTAGGAAAGAAATGAGAGAAGGTCAGACAAAAGTGGGAGAAGGGCCATTTCTCTGTTACAGCCGACTGACAGTGCTGGCTGGGATCATGGGAGCGGCATTTATGAATGAATGTGCAACTAAAAAGCAGCAGAAGTCACTGGGGAAAAGCAAGCTCAAAAAGAAAAGGTAGAGGGGCTGGAGCGATAGCACAGCGGGTAGGGTGTTTGCCTTGCACGCAGCCAACATGGCCAACCCAGGTTCGATTCCCAGCATCTCATATGGTCCCCCGAGCACCACCAGGAGTAATTCCTGAGTTCATGAGCCAGGAGTAACCCCTGAGCATTGCCGGGTGTGACCCAAAAAGCAAAAAAAAAAAAAAAAAAAAAAAAGTAAAGGTAGACAGGAGACAGCTTTGCTGCTCCCATGATAATAAAGGTACGAGCAGTTAAGATACGCGCACATGTACTAAACTGTAATTCAATGTTGGGACGACCTTCAAGGACACCCCCCACCCCCCATAAGAGAGGTTTGCCTACTCCAGTCTCGTGGGCTCTCTCCACGAGTTCTGTGAAGTCTTCCACCTTGCCCTCAGTGTCTGGGTACTGAAAGAGCACCCCACAGACATCCTTCCCACTGAAGTCCATTTCATGGGGGAACTTTAGCTCAACAAGGACTCCAGTGAATCTGCAAAGACAGAAGACAAAGAACAATCAAAACTTTGGTTTTCAGAGGCTGTACAGCAGGAACCACACTTGCTTTGTACAAGGCCAACCAGAGTTCATGTGGTCCCCTGAACCCCAAAGCGCAGAGCAGGAGTAACCCCTGAGTGCTATTGGGTGTGGTCCAGAAACAAAACCAAAACTTAAATTTTCAAAGGAAAATCAAATCACCTCATTTCTGTTCACTTGCTGTATTTCACTGATGCTCCTTCCACTAATAAATAGCCTGCCATACTGTTCACCCCACACCCAACAGACACACCCCATCCCTAACTAACCCTTCACTCCTTCTGTTTCTCCTTCACTCATGAGTTCACATCATTCATTCTGTTTCTCCTTCACTTGTACGTCCCCTCCCTCTCTGTAACAACCTGCTCTGGAGAGAGGACTGGGATATCTTTCTAAGACTAAAGACACTGAGCCCTGTGACAAGAAAACCATCACCTCTATCCCTGTGGACCAACTTCAGTGAATGGGAAGCCATGAGCAAAACTTCCTTGGCGAGGAAGACTATGACTCTCCTCACTACACAAAACCATCTGATTTTAGACATCTGTCAGCAAACCCATTCTGAAGGGACCTGGTCTGAAGTCAGAGGGAAAAATGCCAAATTTTACAAGGAGTAAATGAATAAATATAACTCAAGTGGCAGTTGAGTTCATGCTATCTGATTAGCACAATATGCTTTCCTCTGCATCAAAAAATACCCAGCAATTAGACGGATTCCCTATATACCACTTGTGGGAGAAGACGCACAAATCAAATCAATTAATTATATGGGTTTCATTTTTCTCTCTGCTTTTTCAGATTTTTTTAATGTCTAAAATACTGAAAATGTTATTTTTATAAAAAAAAAAGTATACAAAAACAAGGTAACATTCTACATACAGCAAGGTTTGAACAAGATGCTGACTGTTATCTTCTAAATTTTGACACATTTTATTTAACAGCAAGAACCCAAAAAAGACAGTAGGAATGGAAGAAAAGTGAAGGGCAAAGGAAATAGTACAGTAGCTTTGGTACTTGTTCAATTCCCAACACTCTATATTGTACCCTGAGCACTTCCAAGAGTCACCCCTGAGCAGAGGCAGGGACAAGCCCCACAACCCAAAATAAGTAAAGTTCAACAACCGCAACTTAAACCAGATTCACTTCCAATTAGTTTTCAAAGTAAAAGAGTGAAAAACACATGAGAACGATATCCGTGAATGAAAAATGCAAAGAAAATGAATTACTTGGCTCTAGTCTGGACGACAGCTATTGTCTGCGGATGACAACGGGGATCAACAAAGAATTTCCTTCTCTTGTTGTGTCTGTTGAAAAGGAAAAATAACAAGCAAACATGAACAGCAGTGAAATCAGAGATTTTCTGAGATGTGAAGCCATACTTGCAGAATGTCTGAGCACAGTATAAAAATTCCTGAAACTGTGGTAATAATGACGTGCCCTCATTAGTAGTCAGATCGAAATACAATTCCCATCCCTAGGTTATTCAGCAAAGTCAGCGATAAGTCTAAAAACTTTTAATAAAGGGGCTGGTAAGATAGTAACTGCCATGAAAGGTAGTGTCCTCTTACCCTGCATGGCATCTGACCCAGGTTTGATGCCCAGCAACCTCTATGGCCCTTGAGCCTCACCAGAATGATCCCTGAGCAAAGAGCCAGGAGTAAGCTCTGAGCACCATTGGGTGTGACCCCAACACATAAAAAATATAAATAAAAAGGCTTAAAGTTTTTCATTAGAGCCAGAGAGAACATTCATGTAAACACTTCTGATCTCGGTAATTAATCCACATTAACTTCCCAAGCACCGCCAGAGACATTTTTGAGTACAGAGCCAGGAACATCTCCTGACCACCAAAAAACAAAGTAATTTAATTTACATGGCGGGGAGGTGGAGGGCGGGGAAGGAAAGCAAAGTGGAGGATGGTGATTAGGTACAAGTGAAAATGTAAATGAGCTTAGGAGAGAAGGAGGCCTGATGGTGAGTGGGCTGCGTACCTTTGTGACTGACCATTGGTAACAGGAGGAAAGGCCTGAGCCCCCTGCTGTCTGCAATAATTTTGAAATTATCTAAATTGTTTGAATATGTGGGCGCCTAGGACATAACCAAGAGCTCCCACCTGCAAAGTGGGTGAGCCAACCCTTTGAGCAATCTTAGTCCTCCTAAGAAATTAATCGTGGCCTACACAACTCTTACTACTCAATTACTAATAGTCCATGTTGTTAATACCACAGCTATCAAACCTGAATCTTTGAGGTCTCCAAATCTGTCCAGTGAGTTTGTACCTAACCACCCCAAAGACAACAGAAGCAGATTTACCAACAAGATGACTGTACATGTGAATTCTACCAGGAAGTAAAGGCACAAGGCAAGGAAGGAAGGAGGACCAAGAACTGGGAGACAGCAGAGCAGCTGTTAACTATGTACCATGCCCTGCAACTCCACTTCTGGAAATGCATATTCAGTTAATAGAACTTGGAACACATATTTAACAAAAGCACCCAAAATTATTGTGAACAGAGGGAGCAAGGAAGGAAAAGGAGGGTGATGGGGGCTGGGGGGGGGGGGGGGTATGTGAATGTGGTTACCTTCTGAAATTCTAATAGAGATAGTTACACTATGGTACTCCATGCAAATAAGTACTACACAGAGCCAGTGAAAGTCATATTCTATAGAAAGCTGGATCCAAAATAGGGAAATGTTTATAACATATTAAGAAACAGAAAAATAGGACCAGAGAGTATTGGGATTAAGGCACTTGCTTTGCAAGTGGCCAACTCCGATCTGAATCCCCAGCACCATATATGGTTCGCTTCAGTATACTCTGGCTTTATATAGTCTTTATTATTTCAGTGGCCGCAGTGACAACTCAAAGAGCTGGAGCATATGCTCTTCATTGGGAGCCTGGGTTGGAGCCTCAGTAAGGCCAGGAATAAGTGACACCACACCAGGCATGGCTGTGAGCACCACTAGAGTGATCAAAACCAAATGAAAAGGAAATCACTATTACTCAATGCTCCAGTTATCTCAGCAAACTGGTATAATGACATTGATAGAAAGCATGTATAAGTGTGTGTGTGTGTGTGTGTGTGTGTGTGTGTGTGTGTGTGTGTGTCTTGGTGGGGGGGAGGGGCCCGCTGGGAGAAACCAATGGGCACTTCCAGGACAGTGATCGCTGCCTGCACAGCATGGAAGAGCTTCTCTGTGTTCGAGTCGCCCCAGACTGGGCCACTCACCTGTGGCAAAGCTGCATGGCCTCTGCAGCTGCTGTGGCCTCATCCAGCAGGGAGGCATTGGCCATGTCCATGCCAGTGATGTCACACACCATGGTCTGGTAGTTGAGCAAACTCTCCAGGCGGCCCTGAGACACCTCTGGTTGGTATGGCGTATACTGGGTGATCCTGCAGGGAACACAAAGGCCCGTCCAAACTGAGATTCCAGGACTCAGCCCAAGAAATGCCTTCATTTGCTGGAGCGATAGCACAGCGGGTAGGACGTTTCACGCAGCCGACCTGGGTTCGATTCCTCCGTCCCTCTCGGAGAGCCCAGCAAGCTACTGAGAGTATCCCACCCGCATGGCAGAGTCTGGCAAGTTCCCCATGGCATATTCAATATGCCAAAAACAGTAACAAGTCTCACAATGAAGACGTTACTGATGCCCTCTCAAACAAAGGGAGGACAGTGCTACAGAGCTACCCAGCTATGCTCAGGGCTTACTCTTTGTTTACTCCTGGTGGTGCTTAAGGAACGACATAGGGTGCCAGGGGTCAAACCAATGATCTATTAAAGATTTGTATTTTATTGTTATATCTACTTGATTCAAGGGTTGCTTACTTTCCCAGTGTTAGATCATGGGTTTGATTCTCATAACAAAATAAAACAAATAAATCTCTTTGGTTTTGTTTTGAGATCACACCCTGCAGTGCTGGGGAGGGACATGTCAGTGCTTAGGATAGAACCAAGACCCCCAAATGCAAAGTACATGAGCCAACTCTTTGAGCAATCTCCCAGCCCTCCCGAGAAATTAATAGAGGCTTGTGTAACTCTGCCCAATTATTAATAATTTTTGTTGTTAATTTCACAGCTAGGAAAATTCAAGACACAAATGATTAATAGGCAGCATAGAGAAGAAGGTTAAACTCCAGTCCCTCCCTCCCCCCCCCCCCCGCCATTAGCCCAACTGTTGTCTTAGAGCATATAAATTAACCCACTTGGTTCCTTCATTATTGTCTTCATTTCTTTACTCGCTTACTCATCCTCCAAATATTCCCAGTGTACCTTTCTAAGTGTTCAAATGCTTGATAGGTTCTGGTAACACAGAAACAAGGTGATTACAATCCCTGATCTCAAGGAAAGCGATTTGAATTAAGGCGAGAAAATGTCAAGAAATATACAAACTTATTAGACACAAATGTGTTAAGGTAAACAAAGCAACAGCTCACATTCTTGCACCAGTCTTTCTATCACTATGATCTCCAAGTGGGTCCCATTCCCTGTATGATTAATATTGTTTCTTCTCTTCATTGGTTTCTACATCCAAGAATACCAGGAAAATGGGGCTGGAGGAATAGCACAGCGAGTAGGGTGTCTGCCTTGCACGTGGCCGACCCGGGTTCAATTCCCAGCATCCCATATGGTCCCCTGAGCACCGCCAGGGGTAATTCCTGAGCGTAGAGCCAGGAGTAACCTCTGTGCATTGCCAGCTGTCACCCAAAAAGCAAAAAATAAAATTAAAAATAAAAAATAAAAATAAAAACAAAAAAAAAGATTACCAGGAAAGAGTGGCAAGGATTATGTCTTGGTATTTTTTTTAAAGCTCTTTTCTTTCTCTCCTATTCTGGTAATTGTGTTCAGAATATTTCTTTTCATCTTCCTCCCCTTCCCCTTTTTTTGGGAAGGCTTTGAAATAAATGTCCTCTTATCTTTGAGGCACGAGTGTGGCTCTTGCCCTACCAAACATGCAAGGCTTTGAAATAATTTTCCTGAAGCTTTTATTAACATAGTAACGTGTGAGTATGTCTGTATATCTGAGTAAAATTTTGCTCCACTGAACTCCTCGAACAGCCTGACTTAACTGTAAATCAGTCTGCCAAACGCAAAATGGGTAGTGAACTGGAATGAATAAATGAAGGAACACAAGACATGATGTAGACAAAGTGGAAGGGAATTTGAGCAGAAATGGTGTCACACAAAGGGAACAACAAGGGGTAATTGTGACAGCAGATCAGACAAGCTCTTCACACAAAGCATTGGCTGCCACCATGAAGACACGTGCTCAGACGGTCTAATAAAATACTACTCAGAATCATTGTTTGAGATACACACACATACAAAAATATGTATATGCTAGCAAGCCCATCCAATAATGTGTGAAGATAGAGACATATATATCCTACAAGAGGAAGAGAGCAATACTCCAAAGCATTCATCAGAACATTGAACATATTAAAAATTAACTACAAATTACGTGTCCACTAAAATATGTAGTAGATTTTTCTCTCCCCACCACTATCACCCTTTTTGAAAGCTTTGAAATAAATTCCCTTGTACCTTGGAGGCAGGATAACTCTGCATTTATTGCAAATGATGTGTAAAGGTCTATTTACTGACATGAAGGTACTCAATACATTAACATAAAAATGGGCAGGAGCTGTAGGATTGTACAGTTGGCAGAGTGCTTGTCCTGCGCACAACCAACTAGGGTTTTGATCCTCTGCATCCCATTTGGTCCCCCAAGCACCATAAGGACTAATTCCTGAGTAGTCAGGAGTAACCCCTGAGCATTCACAGGTATGGCCCCGAAACAAACAAAAAAAATAAATAAATATACCTTAATGCTATTTTTGTATTAAAAAATGTTTTAAGTAAACCGTAATATGAACTGGCTTTCTTCGGGTAATAAAATTAACAGTTCTTTCTATTTATTTTTTTTAAGCTGTATGTTCTAAGTGATAATGATATCAGCCCCTATCTATGTGTTGGAAACACAATTTTTTTGTCTTTTTTTTGGGGGGGGGGGTTGGTAACACCCAGCATTGCACAGGGGTTACTCCTGGCTTATTATGCACTCAGGAAATACTCCTGGTGGTGCTCAGGGGGACCATATGGGATGCTGGGAACTGAACCCGAGTCGTCTGCTGCATGCAGGGCAAATGCCCTACCTACTATGCTATCGCTACAGTAATTAATTTCTGCTTTTATTATGCAAGTTTATGGCACAAAGTTGGAAAACTATGATTCCTCTTGCAAAATGGAATTGTTCATAACAAAACTCCAAGATAACAACAGTTAACATTTAAGTGCATTTCTTTCCAAAAATGTACTTTTCTTGGTTTGTTCTTTGAGTCATACCCAGCTGCGTTGAGGACTTGCTCCAGGTTCTGCCGTCAGGAATTACTCCGGGCAGGACTTCGGGGACCACATGGGATGCTGGGGATGGAACCCAGGTCAGCAAGCTCCCTCCCCGCTGCTATCTCTCTAGCCTCCAAAAGTACTTTTTTCTTTTTATCTTGTGTGATAAGCAACGTTAAATGTGCTCACCCATTTTTCTGTTGTGCCCTCTGTCCATTTTGTGCTGATATTGTGGTTTTATTATACTTTTCCTCCAGTTTTGAAGTAAGCATATGTAGATAAAATACATGCAAAGGACAAAACTGCATATATTGAAAGAGTACAATACAATGGTGATACACATTTTGTGAAGTGATTATCATCACAATCAGGTTCTTTGTGTTCAGTCTCTTTTCTACAGCACAATCACATTTTTTTAATTTGCTTTTTTGCTTTGCAGCCATACTCGGTGGTGCTCAGGGTTCTGACTCAGTGCTCAGTGGTGACTCAGTGTGCAGGGGACCATAGGTGGGGGGGGCCACAGAATGAACTCAGGGTGGCTGATACAAACAAGGACCCTACCAGCTCAGTGTCTTAATATTTTTAAATATTTTTAAAGTGTTCAATATATCCAGAAAAACATTCTTCTAGTTCATATTGGATGCTTTATAAATTCAACAGGATACGAACATTTATTCCAAAATAATCAAAATTCTCTGTGATTTTTGCTGCATCTGCATTTTGGATTGAGAGACGAAGGTAGTGGTTCACACATTTCTGAGATTCTCTCATTTTAACCCTGCTGCCAAAGCTAGACAAACAAAAAGCACCTTTAAGAAAATGTTATTTTTTTTTTACAAGTCACTGATGTTAGCAGTGGAAATTCTGGGAAACTGGACCCCATAAAATAAATTTTCAGCTGGATGTTAAGGTTTTTTGTTTAGCCTAAAAGTTTGCATTCTTTCGAGGTTATGTAGCTCATTTGCTTTCAGCTCACATCACCGGAACTTGTTCGTTCCCTCTCTATGGCAACCATTCAGAAGGATGATAATGGAGAGTGCACAGCCTCCGTATCAGCGCGGGCGAATGCAGTACCACCGTCTGGTACAAAGTAGCTTTCGGAGAATGAAACTGAACGGTATTTTAAATGCTCTCACAAACTAGACCAAAAAGCAAAGAACACTGTTTCCCTCAAAATGAAAGTAAAGAAACACATTAACTCACTGCCAGGAAGCAATATGATGAATATTCTGTAAGGCCAAAAAGACCAAAGGCCCTGGGCCAGTGCTCAGCTCGAATGCATGGACTTTTGAGGCTTCTTTTCACAGAGGGTCATGACACAGGACATTTGCTTTTGAAATCAGACTTGAAGTTTACCACTGAAACTTCTATCGGTAAGAATCACACAGGGAAAGAAGCTCTCAGCAATGTAAACTAATCTCAATCTCTCTCTCTCTCTCTCTCTCTCATACACGCACAACAAAAAATAAATTCGATCATGCTTACATTTCCTCTTTTATCTATAAAGAAGTGGAAGATGGAAGCTAGTCTTTTAGCAGTGATCATAAAATGGTATATATGTATGTGTAGTTGTAACACTGCACACCTGAAAATTATAGTTTCATATACCAATGTTTTTTAAACAATACCTTCCTCTCTGTTGCCAGGGATCAAACACAAGGACTCACACTTGCGAGGCAAGAGCTCTACTACTGAGAAACATCCTTAACCCAACACAAACTTTTAAATAAAGTTTAAAAAACTATTATTAAATAGAATTATCTTTCAAATTTCTACTAAACTGTGCTAAAGTGAACAATGAATGTATCAGAGCATCACTTAATCACTTAATCACTTAATCCCCGTTATTCATCGATTTATTCGAGCGGGTGCCAGTAACGTCTCCATTCATCCCGGTTGCGTGCTAGCGTAGCCCAATGGTATCTGTTCGTTTTAGGAACATGTAGAGCCTCAAACCGATCATTTAGGGTCTTGACGAAGAAGTCTGACCATCTTATAGGTGGGCGTCCACGTGATCTTTTGATGTCTCGTGGAATCCAATCAGTAATGGCTCTAGTCCAGCGGTAATAAATGTAATAAATAATAAATAAATAATAAATAATAATAATTAAATAATAAATAAATAATAAATAAATCCAGTAATAAATGGATCTCATTTCCCTAACCCTGATTATGATCAGAGCATATTATAACTGAAATGGACAGAAACAGCAAGGAAGCGATTACACCAACTGATGTGCTTTCTAATGAAGGATCATGAGTCACAACATCCAGGTCAATGCATTCTCACCAACCGGAAGCAAGTTTGCATGGAAGGATAAAGAAGACAAAAATACAAAGGTGCAGTTCTCCCCGATCTAGCCTATGTCACAACCAAACGCTTTGGTCCTCAAAACTACAGGTCTGAAAACGGCAGATGGCCAAACATGCATTTTCTCACTCACACACAGAACAACTAGCTATGCGTGTGGGTGGTGTGTGGGTCTGTTCATGGATCATAAATAGGAGCCATAGAATAAGTTCTCCTCGAACTAAGAACACTATGTTCCTTTAGCAAAGTTTTTAAAACTTTGGGCTTGAGCGATTCTACAGTTGGGGGTGCGTTTGCCTGGTACACAGTGGACCGGGGTTCAATCCCCGGCATCCCAAATGGTCCCCTGAGCACCGCCAGGAGTAATTCCTGAATGCAGAGCCAGGAGTGACCCCTGAGCATCTCTGGGTGTAAACCAAAACAAAACAAAAAAAAAAACTTTGCAAATTTTATGTATTTCTTCTTCCTCCCTTTGATTTTTGAGCCACACCTGGCTGTGCTCAGGGCTTACTCTGGTGGTGGCCAGGGCACCATCTGTGGTGCCAGTAATTGACTGAACTGGGGTCAGCTAAGTGCAAGGCAAGCACCTTAGCCACTGTACTATCTCACTGGCTCCTAAATTTTAAAGATATATTTCTGTGGAACATGAACTCAGGTGTTCCAAAATCCCGCAAGGAGGCAATTTTTTAATTTTCCATATGAAAGTCCACCTTCCCTTTACTAAACGGGATTTGTTCCCTACAGGCTGGCTTAAAAGACAACTTCTGCATCTTGCCAACTGAAAAGTCAATCATTTACTTCGTCCTCAGATAATGATGGTCCTATTTGAAATTAAAAGGACCTTCTACATCCACAGCTGAAAGAAAAATAACTGGGGAATTATCACTGCCGCCCCACACTTGGCTTGTTTCTCTGCTAGAAATGATAAGTGCACCCAGACTTTTGAGACTAAGCCATCAGTTGAGATGTTTCCATTCAACCTCACGGGTCAGTGACATTAATTCAAAAACAAGTCTCCAGGGTCCCATTTTTCCTCCTCGTCAGTTAGCTTGTCCTTCCCAGTGAGCAGAAGAAACAAGGTCCTGACTTGTTTTTAAACACCTTTGGAGACAGGGCCTCTGTCTGTCAATAAATAGCCAAGGTGTGTCCTTGTTTTGTATTGAAATGTGAACTTCCCTTTCACTGCAGATCCAGCTAGCAGCAATGGAAAACAGCAGAAGAGGTTTAGGAGAAACAGTTTCCATGCAATGCAAGCAAGGCAGCCAGAGCGAACAGAGAAGGCGATACAGGAATTCATCCATGTAGGGGCTTGCGCACGTGTTCCTCAACAAACTGCCTGACTTCGGGAGGTGAGAACACAAGTAACTGAGCACAAGTCACTCAAGCGCTTCTTTCAGTTCCTAAAAGAGCCTGTTCACAGAAAAATGTTCTCTTTCTCTCCAAATCACAAATCACAAATCATCCTGTTATTCGTCGATTGCCTCGAGCAGGCCCCAGTAACGTCTCTTTCATCCTAGCCCTGAGATTATATTCAAGGCTCTTTAGGAGAATGAGACCCATCATTGTTACTGGTATTTGGCATATTGGGTACGCCACGGGGAGTTTGCCAGACTCTGCCCTGTGGGCAGGCTACATTCGGTAACCTGCCAGTTTGTCCAGTTTCTCTCCAAAATGCTAAGTAATAAAACTGATGATGCTAATAGTTAACCTGATACTAATCTGACCCTGACATTGGCTTCTTTTCAGTCATGTGTGAACTCGGAATAAGAGGGAAGACCCTCAACCAATGCTGATTCAGAAGGTCAACTGGTCCGTCTCCATGAAAAACAATCTGGGCCTTTCAGAAAACGAAGAATTGAGCCTCCCTTTGTCCCAGCAATCCCACTTCTTGACTTCTACCCCATGGGTCCAAAAACAGTACTCGGAAAAGACTTTTGCACTTCTAACTTCACTGCAGCATGACTCACAATAGCCAACACCTAGAAGCAAGCCAAATGTCCATGAACAGATAACTGTATAAAGAAACTGTGGTATATATTCACAGTAGAACACTACTCAGCTATAAGAAAAGATAAAATCTTGCAATGTGCTGCTACATAGATAGGTCTGGAGAGTGTCAGGCTGAGTGAAGTTAGTTCAAAGAAGAGGGACAGGCACAGACTGATCTCTCGCAGGGGCCAGCGAGATAGTTGTATGGGTAAGACACTTGCCTTATACGCAGCTGACCTAGGTTCAATCCCCGGCATACTATGTCATCTCCTGAGCTCGCCAGGAGTGATTCCTGAGTGCAGAGCCAGAAGTAAGCCCTGAGCACCACAAGGTGTGGCTAAAACAGACTAGAATGATCTCTCTCATGTGCGGAATATAAAGAAATAAAGTAGAGGAAGAACAAATGCCCAAAGGCAACTGAAACTGAGACCAGGTCTTTAGTAGAAAGCGTAAAGGCCGGTAAATAGGATGGAAGGTGGGGCAGGGGCAGGGCACTCTGAGACAATTGTGGAATGAAGCAGACTCTCTGGTGGCGGATGTGGTACTGGAACATTGTATGCATGAAACCCTATAATTAATAGTATTATAAAACTGCAGTGTCTAAAACAAGATAAAATAAAAGGGGAGACATAAAGCTAAAAGGGAGAACTTCTATAACACTGACAATGAAGTAAAATTCTCACCCCTGTCTCCAAAAAATAAAACCAGAATCTGCCCCATATAGTTTTGACATCTTGTCAAATCTGCTTTTAATGACAAAACAGTCATTAAGACTGGACTAGGAGCTGGAGTGATAGCACAGCAGGTAGGGTGTTTTCCTTGCACGGGTTCGATTCCCAGCATCCCATATGGTCCCCCAAGTACCGCCAGGAGTAATTCCTAAGAGCATGAGCCAAGAGTAAGCTCTGTGTATCGCCAGGTATGATCCAAAAAACAAAAAAATAAAAAATAAATAAAAGACTGGGCTACAGAGATAGTACAGTGGGTAGGTGCTTGCCTTGCAGGCGGCCATATGGGATGAGGACCATCAGGGATAATTAAGACGAGTAACTCCTGAGCATCACCAGGTGTGACCCAAAAAGTAAATTAAAAAAAAAAAGTCTAGACATTAAATCATAGAGATAAAATGAAGAGCTGCATCCACAATTTAGAACTTTAGAATTATTTCAAGCAAACAAACGTGGGAAAAAGCAGGCCCAAGGAGCTGACTCGAAGAACTAGAGACACTGCACAAACTCCTTAGAATAAGGAGTCCTGATGGTCCCCAGCACCACAAAGGGGCTCCGAAACAAAAAAGTGAGGAGGGGTTCTTAGTCTCCCTATATTTGAGTAAGGAAAGTTCCCAAGCTGGAAAACTTCAGAGGTGGGTTCCTAGAGGTGAGGGACAGCACCAGAGCGGAGGTGTCAGCAGTTAAGACCTAAAGCTCCAATGTGTTCTGAAAGTAGACTGTACACCGAACACGATGGCCACACAATACCTCTATTGCAAACCACAACACCCACCCAAAATGAGAGAAAAAGCAAAAGGGTATGCCCTGCCACAGAGGCGGGCGGGGTGGGGTGGATGAGGGGGCGGTGGGGGGAGGCGCACGGGGATCACTGGTGGTGGAGAATGGGCACTGGTGGAGGGATGGGTACTGAGCATTGTATGACTGAAACGTAAGCACGAAAGTTTGTAAGTCTGTAACTGCACCTCATGGGGATCCATTACAAAAAATAAGAAAAAAAATAAAATAAAAAAAAAAGACCCAAGGCTCCAAGCGAAGGGAAGGAGGTATGAGAAGATGAGGAGAAGCATGCAAGCACATTATAGGGCTCCTAGGTTTAATCAGTAATACATTACCATCCTGAGTTTTCCAACAAGTTCCGCAAAATTGTCTGTGGCACTGAGCAGTTGTAATAGCCCATACCAATATATGATCTCCACATCTGGTTTTTGCTGGAAATGGCACGGAGGGTGGCAAGGATTTCATTTTCACCTGGTTGTAGAAAAGCGAGAGATCAGTGTTATGGAGAGAAAAGTCTCAGAAGAGTGGTCTAGAATAGCTTTAAACCTTACTTTGAGTGTGTATAGGAGAATAACTTCAATGGAAAATATAAAGATCAATTTTTCCATCCAATACTGAACACTGTACGTAGAGACACACAAAATACCGGGGTCAGAGAAATAGTACAGGAGGTAAGGCACTTGCCTGACATGTGGCTGACCCCAGTGCTATTTCCAACATGGCCTAAGGTCCCCCCAAGTACCACCAGGGGTCACAGCTGAGGAAACCCAGAAAAAGTCTTTAAGCCCTGCCAGGTATGGTCCTAAGCACCCATCCCACCCCACCCCCACCCTCAAAGGAAAAAAAAAATCCTGAAAACAACAATGACTCCTTAAATTTGGTTTCACCTATTTGTTTTTCTGTTGTTGTTTTAAGGCCACACCCAGCAGTGCTCAGGGTTCACTCCTAATCCTATCCGGTTCAGAGTTCTCTGTGCTTTGGAGAACCATACTGGTCATTTGCTTGCCTGCCTTACCTCTTGTACTATCTATCCTTCCAGTCCCCCAGGACTTGTTCTTTAATCCTATTCTTTTGGTATTATCAGAATTGTCTTTTTTTTTTTTTTTTTTTTTTTTTTTTTGCTTTTTGGGTCACACCCAGTGATACTCAGGGTTTCCTCCTGGCCTTGCATTCAGGAATTACTCCTGGCGGTGCTTGGGGAACTATATGGGATGCTGAGAATCAAAACTGGGTCCCCTGAGTGCAAGGCAAATGCCCTACTTGATATACTATCACTCCGGCCCCTGAATTGTCTAATTTTAATCCCTGCTTTAGTCTAGTTTTCTTATGTACCCTTTATCTTTCTGTTGTATGAACACCAATTGAACATGCTGTTTCTTCTCAGCAAAATATAATCTTCCCTTTCAATCGTCTTATAGCAAAGGTATAAATCTTTTTTTTTTCACTTTTTTATTGAATCACTGTGAGATAGACCCTCCTTACAAAGCCGTTCACAATTAGAATTTTCATCATACAGTCTTCCAACACCCATCCCTCCACCAGTGTACATTTCCCAGCACCAAGGTCCCCCAGTTCCCTCCCATTATCCCCCCACCCCCCACCCCTCTATAGCAGGCTCTTTTCTTCCGTCTCTGACTGTCTCTGTCTCTGTCTGTCTCTCTCCTTTTGGGCATTGTGGTTTGCAATATTGATATTGAAAGGTTATCAAGTATATCCTTTTACCTACTTTTAACTCTCAGATCTTGTCCAGAATGATCATTCCTAGCTTGCTTTTTTTTTTCTTTTTGGGTCACACCCAGCATTGCACAGGGGCTACTCCTGGTTCATGCACTGAGGAATCACTTCTGTCGGTGGTCAGGGGACCATATGGGATGCTGGGAATCGAACCCGGGTCGGCCACGAGCAAGGCAAACGCCCTACTTGCTGTGCTATCACTCCAGCCCCCTCATTCCCAGCTATTATTGTCATACTAGTCTCTTCTCTATCTTACCTACCCTCTGTCCCCCACATACTTGTAGCTGATTCCAACCACTGACCAGTCCTCCTAGGCCCTGTTTCCCCCAGTCATGGATATTGGCATGATACGGCATTCTACTATATATTTTTTATTTGGTATAATTCTTTTTGTTTTGTTTTTGTTTTGGGGGGTCACACCCGGCAATGCACAGGGGTTATTCCTGACTTGCACACTCAGGAATTACTCCTGGCGGTGCTCAGAGGACCATGTGAGATGCTGGGAATCAAACCCAGGTCGACTGTATGCAAGGCAAACACCCTACCCGATGTGCTGTCACTCCAGCCCCATTATTTGGTATAACTCTTAAATAAAAACACGATCTACATTTTTCTCTAAATTGCTCAAAAACTTGAAGATTTTTTTCCACTCTGGCACTGAAATATCTCTATTAAAAAATATATCCTTCTCATAAAATGTAAAGAAAAAAAAAGACCAACCTATACTTTATAATCAACTTTGTGTGTGTGCACTACACCTAGCAGCGCTCAGAGGCAACTCTCTGCTCGACATGTGGCCATCATTCGTGGCAGTGACAGAGGACCATGCTGCGGTGGGCACGAAACCACAAAACCAAGGGCTGTGGCATGCAATGCACATGCTCCAAGCCCGTGAGCCATCTCTGTGGTGCCAGATAATTAGCACTCAGGTAAGTAAGAAAGAATGAATTGGAGAAGTTCTTGTACTACCAGCGCAATAATACAGGGGGATAGGGGCTTGCCTCGCATATGGCTGACCTAGGTTTGATCCCCAGCACTGTATATGGTTCCCTGAGTGTGCCAGGATTCCTAAACAACACAGAACCAGAATTAATTCCTGAACACCACCAGATGTGGCCAAAAAAAAAAAAAAAAGAGGCAAACAAATCTTGGATGCAAATGAGACATCAAATAATTTTGATGTCATTCCTACAACAACAAAAATAACAACGCTGACATTTCTCAACACTTAATACTTCTCAGGAGTTGTATTAAGTGCTTTTCATGCATCTTAGAAAACAGAGACATCAAGAGGATCACTGCTTATAACTTTAACCCAGTCCACTCATTCCAGTTTCCATTTTCCTCACTGAGTCTGGAGTACATCTGGTACAGATACAGCATGTGCACCAAAAGATACCTTCGAGATATGAATAATGCCAGAGGGTTCTTTCTCTGCCCCTCTGCATAGAGAGATCATGCTATTAAAACTCTAACTGCGCTTTGGCGTGCTCCCCCTTGAACACATATCTCACTCTACGAGTCTTTGCTTATTGGTATTTTCCACGCTGGAGAAGCTCATGTTTTCTCTTGAAAAGGTTCCTTTCCAGAACAGATGACTGGTTAAAGAAACTTTGGTACATCTACACAATGGAGTACTATGTAGCTGTTAGAAAAGATGAAGTCATGAAATTTACATACAAATGGTACAACATGGAAAGTATCATGCTAAGCGAAATGAGTCAGAAAGAGAGGGATAGACATAGAAAGATTGCATTCATCTGGGGGACATAAAGTAACAAAATATGAGATTAATACCCAAGAATAGCTGAGATCAGCACCAGGAGGATTACTCCATAGCTTAGTGGCCAGTCGGGCATTCTAGAGGAAAGGGCAGCTCAGATAGAGAAGGGAACACCAAATAAAAGGTGTTTGGAGGATCCTCCCAGGAGGGGAGATGCATGTCGAAAGTGGACTATGGACTGAACATGTTTGCCACTCAATGCCTCTTTTGCAGACCACAACACCCAAAAGGAGAGAGAGAACACAGGGGATTGCCCTGCCACAGAGGCAGGGGGGGATGGGGGGATGGGGGTGGCGGGGATATTATCCATGGTGGTGGAAAATGGGCACTGGTGGAGGGATGGGTATCTGATCATTGTATAATCAAACCCAAGCACAAAGATTTGTAAATCTACAACTGTACCTCATGGTGCTTCACTAATAAAAAAAAAAATTTTTTTAAATTAAAAAAAGAAAAGGTTCCTTTCCCTTATGTCTTTCTAAGTACGTTTCACTCAATAAAAACTCATGCTCCACTTACTAAATAAAATATTAACTACATTTTAAATACATTAAACTGCATTAACTACCTCTACAAATGTGTAGTCTTTCTAAGATCTTCTGAGGGACTCAGTCATTAAAATCTTGGAACTGATTGTTTCCTACTAGAGAAAAATCTAGGAACAGCCATCTGTGAAATGTCAAATTGGTTAGGAAGATTGTTTTAATCCTCAGTCCTATGTGAATGTTATTCTCATTAATTCTTACCCTCGATGAAAATAGCCCCTCCACCTGATCATCCCACTCTATAGACTCCCACAGAAAATAAATTCACAAGAGACCTATTACTTTTCATTAGACTTAATCAAAGAAAGAGAGGACATTTCATAAGTATTTGTTTTGTGAATGGCAGGGAGTAGCCACAACTGGCAGTGCTCAGGACTCACTCAGGCTCACTTTTGTTTTTTCCCAGGGGATTATGTAGTGCTGTGGGTCAAGCCCAGGCCTATTAGACACGGGGGGAAGGAATACATACAGGGGTCTTTTGGGTGGAACCAGGGGTGCTGCTGTAAATCTTATACCTGTGTAGAGGTATGAGATGCTCACCTTTAAAATTCTATGGTATTGTTGAGAAGGACAGACATAGAATGACCACTCACTTGTGGAATAGAAAAATAACATAAGAGACTAACACCCAAGGACAGTAGACACAAGGACCAGGAAGATAGCTCCGTGACTGGAAGCCTGCCTCATGAGCTGGGGGAGAAGGCAGCTGGGATACAGAAGGGATCACGAAGTCAATGATGATTGGAGGGATCGCTCGGGATGGGAGATGTGTGCTGAAAGTAGATAAAGGACCAAACATGATGGTCTCTCAGTATCTGTATTGCAAACCATAAGGCACAAAGGTAGAGAGAAAATAAGACAAAAATTGTCTGCCATAAAGGCAGGGGGAGGAGATGGGAGGGGATACTGGGGACATTGGTGGTAGAAAATGTACACTGGCAGAGGGATAGGTGTGAATCATTGTATGACTGAAACTCATGATGATTCAATTTAAAAAAAGGAAAAAGAAAAGAAAATTCTATAGCATTGTTAAACTAATTCTTAATCTATTGAAAGCCTTGACTGCTGGGGCTCGGGAGATGGTGAGATGGTGCAAAGGCCTAGAGCACATGCCTTGAACTAGAACTAGAACTAGAACTCAGCCCCAAGTATCATAGGTTCACTTAGCACTGCCGGAGGCAATGCCCAAGAACCAAGCTGGGAATAGCCTCCCAAGCACTGTCAAAAGTATCCCCCAAATCCAGAAACTCAGAAACAAATCTTGGAACCCAGCAGCTTTTAGCAGAAATGCGCCTGGTCTCCGCAGTATGTTAACAGTGCCAGGCCACCCCAGGTGGGAATAGGTTTCATGCCTTGGCCTGTTCCCCCTGGCAGTTCAGTGGCTGTTGGACAGTCAGGTTTGGGCCCAC